ATTGCATATTGTTAAACTATATAGACTAACGTGCGTATGAACTTTAAAATCTTTGACAAAAAAAAGTGATGAATATATCCAATTTCAGTTCCTGAAAAAAATTCGAAAATGCTAATGGACACCGTATTTTTGTCAAACTAATGATCTTGAAGAGATCTTTTCCTTCCATTATACAATCTCATGTATATTTTTATCTTCAGAATAGATGAAATATATAACTGGATCATATACATATATATTCAGAGGTATCAATCGTCTCAAATCGCATTGAAGGAATTAATCATCTCAAATCAATGAGATGATCCAGCCAGTACAGCATGATGCTTTTCAGCATCCACGCTATCCTGTTAGTTGTTCCCATGTCCAAATCTTATTAAGGTTTCTTTCGGGTCTAAGTCTGTATGTTTATCCAAATAGATTGTCCAAGATTCGTTGAGCTCCGAGGGACTTAGATCGAGGTCCAGGGTTTGTATCAATGAACATGGACCTCGTACACGGTCTTTGGGACGATGTGAGAGGGTTATTTCCAGGTCCAAGGATTTTTCTACCAGGTTTACATAAGTTCAAATCAGAGGTCCCTGAAGGTTAGACACTCTGTTTTGCCGATGAACCTCGTACGTAGTCCGTAGTACGACGTCATCCTATCCGCGGACATCGTACAAGTCTTCTGGTCCGTGGTTCATGGGACATGTCCGAGATCCTGAAGTTCGCTGTACCCATGAACCTCGTACAGTAAGAGGATTACGTAAAGTTCCACTTACTCACCTATCCAGTAACTATTTACATGGTCCGGTTCCAAGAAAGATGCAAGACAAAATGGTTTCCTATCCGAATATCAAACCTCTATACTTAACATAAACGCAGCATGGCTGATGTGTACGAGTACTCTATATTTACTAAACTGCTGGTACATGATTAGGTTGATTCAATTCACACTAAAATGTGTTGAAATTTCCTTGTCTTGCGAAAAGAGGAGAGAAATTTTATCTTCGTCTAGAACTAAATTACTTTATATGAATTCTCAGCTGTCACACTTTACGTGACTCAGTCCTTTCATTTCCATACAATTTTCAATGTATCAAGTTAGAAAAAATTAGTCTTTACCTAAAAGTGGAGGACAAGGTACAAGAACCAGTATAATGCTAGCCTATGCATTGTAGCCTACTTTTCTCTACTCTTCCATCTTTAACTCAAAGCCAAAAAATTATCATGTATGTACGAATTTTAGCCTCGCTATGCAACAGTGTAAAAGATTTCATAATTTCAATACTATGTTGTGAGAACGATTAGTATGTAAGCAAGGAAAACACATTAAGGATAACGATTAGGATAGTAAGACTAAATCTCTCTTGTCTTATAAAATTTAAAACAAGGTGACCATTTAATCGGTCCAATCTAGGTCGAATACCTTTGAGTACTCGATGTGTAATCTACGAGCCACTACTTATCGATGTCTTGTCTTTCAAGTTTGCATCTTACAACATGATTGTTTTCAAGTTTTTTTGCCCGATCCTCCTGTGGCTGGTGATACGTGATGAGTAACCATGTTAACTTATATCGTTATACAGTATCCCAAGCAGTCGCTCGTTTGTGACTCATAAGACAGTGACGTCCTTCCGGCAGCCAACCTCAATACAATCCGGCCCCAAGTAAAGCTCACCAGTGGCCTCAATTATATGAATTGATCTATACGCCTTGAGATCATGCTGCGAGACAAGTGCATGTACGAAAGAACGATTTTGGATCCAGCTCCCCTCGGCGCTATAGACGACATTGTTGTTTGCTTTCGTCGCATCAAAGCAATAGTTATGATTTAGGAAAGTGTCTCCCTTGACATGCTTTCTTCTATTGCTGAGTTTGAGGACCATCCATCCGAATTGTGCGATTATGTGTGTACCCTTTATCAGTCCATCAAGACCGATAAAGCGTACGAGATCAAGATCACAAGATCAAGACGACCTCCCTTGCCGCCAGAGGGGAAAATTCCCAGGGCTGGCAACCTTAGGACTAGTTACTAGTCTGAAGGTATGAGATACTAGTGACTAGTATCTCATACCTTGTCCCGGATTCAGGCCCTCACGATCTTGAGCTTGAGTCAGCTCTACGCATTTCACCTGGCTCGCTTCATGCAATTTTACTCCGCTGGGTTCCACCACCGGGCCCTAAAAAGAAATCTTCCAAGGGCAGAACGGAAGCTGCCACAATTCTTTAGGGACAACTATTATGTACCGGGCCAAACATTCATCAACATGACCGAGACGACAGGACCAGTCGACGACCAAATCACTCCATTCCATGCTCTTCAGAACCCATTTTGGAAAAAGAGCAATGCAAGAAGAATTCGACTCTCTCATTGCCAATCTAACCTGGAAACTTGTCACTCTCCCGGAAGGTAAATGTGTTCTTTCCTCTGAGTGGAAATTTAAAGCCAAACCTAAATTGGATCCTCTTTCTTTACGCTTAAAATCTCGTCTAGTTGCACGGGGGACTGTAACAGAAGTATGCAATTGATTATAACAAGACTTTTGCTTCTGTTGTTCGTTGGTTAACTCAATGCGCTATAATCTTGCTAGCAGTATCACTTGATTGGAAACTACATTATCTGTATGTTATCATGGCATTTTTCAATGAAAAGCTGCGGGGACCAATATACATGAAGCAAGCTCCAGATCTTCAAGTAGAGGACCATGAAGACCTCGTCTGTCTGCTTAACATGTCCATTTATGGACTGAAGAAGTTACCATGACAATGGTAGTAGTAAATTGATTCTCACCTCGGATCTCTTGATTGGAGCCGCAGTCAGTTGGACCCGAATCTCTATTTTCTTCGAGAAGGCAGCACAGTTATAGTGCTTCTGCTCTGTGTTGAAGACTTGCTCGAACTCGGCAGCAGTGCTACCCGAATTGCAGAAATCAAACAGCAGCTGCACCAGCGTTACAAAATGAAAGATCTTGGGACAGTTCTCGCTACCTAGGTGTAAATTTTCATCTCATCTCTGATGGTAAGATATTCTTACATCAACAAAAGTACATTTCAAATTTTTTGGATGAATGTACCATCGACTCCCTTATGTCTAAACATGTATCGCTTGTAGTCGGCCACGTACTGAAAGCTGATACAGGGATTCCTGCAGTTTACGTCTTTGCTTGTTGTCATTTAGTTGAAAAGCTAATATTAGTGTGCCTCACAAAACCTGATCAGTCGTATGCAGTGGGAATGATTAGTCGCTATGTGCACTCGATCCAACAAGTTCATTTGAATTTGGTCTATCACATTCTTAAATATGTTAATTTCACTCGCGACTTTGGCATACTGTATGATCGTGAGGTAACTCTCCACACGTTTTCTCCAACGCGGACTACTTAAGTTGCCGAAACACAAGGCGTTGAGTTCGACCTTACTTGTCCAAGTTTGCTAACAGCCCCATATCTTGGTCTTCAAAACAGCAATCTACTGTCTCTTACAGTACAACAGAGACCGAGTATAAGGCCTTATCCAAAGCTGCTAAGGAGGGAATTTACATGCGCAGTTTACTACAAGAGCTTCGGGTTCACCACTTGTTTCAGTGCCGATCGCATGTCAAGATTCTAACATTCAGACAGACCTCAGGGATATCAAGACTTCTACAAACGAGGACTTATACTTTTTGTGATAATCTCGGCGCAGTTAAACTTGATCCAAACCCAAAAAAGCTTCAAACAAAGCTAAAACTTGTTCATGCTAAAACAAAGCACATAAAACCAAACATCATATTGTGCGTGAACAGGTTTTAGAGGAGGAAATTTGACTTGACCACTTCTACAACCCAGCAGACCTTCTATAGAAACCTCTGCCTCGAAACAAATTTGACAGGCATTAACATTTCATTGGTGTGCGCTCAATGGCCGAGTTACAAGCAAGTGCTGCTGCTTAAATACTACGGCTGCCAGTACTAACTCGACACATGCCCTGAAGGATCATGCACAAAAATCCATCGTGCAATAACTTCACCCTCGTCACTACATTGCACAATGTAGTCTTCTATCCCAGTATCACTATTTTGAACATTATTTTCTAGGATTAGTTTGATATCCCGACATTGTAGACAACATGTTACCCTCAAGAGAGTGTGTTATGAGACCGATTGGTATCTAAGTGAGGAGAACACATTAGAGATAGCGATTAGGAGAGTAAGACTAGACGTCTCTTGTCTTATATGCTTAAAACAAGGTGGCCATCTAGTCGGTCCATTCTAGGTCGAGTAAACCTGAGTTTTTCCTGTGTCATCTACAAGCCACTACAGTACTTATCCATGGCCTGTCTTTCAGTAAAGTCAAATGGAGTTTGCAAATTTCAACACATCTACATTCTATTTTTACCTCGTAAGCCATGTGAACCTGTAAAATATTCATAGATAAAATACTTACAATAAACCAGAAGAGATAATTTTTTGGAAATACAACTATTGAAAATCCTGAGTTAAACATATAATCGATGCAAATGAAAATACATGTACTGTCACTGTATTGATTACATATGTGTATTATTCCAAGTATTCTCAATCTATTTGAATTAAAAAAATTCCCATGTTTATGATTATCATAAGTTCTACTTTTTAAATTAACACTAGTTTCTTGTTCCAAATATCTTTCATTTTATGCTAATGATATTATATATCAGAAAAATAGAATCTCATATCATATTGCATATCAATGTTACATAGGTTGTAATCATCGTTAGCTAGTAATATCCCGAATATCTTGAAAATAAATCAATCAGAGATAGAAGATAATGTTGAGATTTTTTGTTTTGAAAAATACGCACTCATTGGTTTCAAGATCCAAACATTCATAGCCTCCAAGGTTTGATGAGAACTATTTCCTGATTCTTGGGTATATTGTAGCAAAGCACATTCTTAATTGACATTGAAAAATTCATCATAGCACGGGTCGAAATGCAAGAAGAAATCATATGTATCCAGTACGTAAATCATTTATCAAAATCCTAAAATTGGAATTTCAAAGTTGAAATTCATAATATTAATATATGCATAAAAGGGCTTGACCCTTGTGCGCTGATGGGATCTTCCCCATTTTTCTCTATCCACTGGCTGAGAGCTACATGCTGACCGGTACGGTCCGAAGAACGGGGGAGAAAATATGGTACTCTACTTTGATACACTCTCTACATAAGTTGCTGCTGTACAAGAATCCGTGCGCATAGCGAAGATACATGACATGAGAAGCGTGAGCAGATGGGGGCAGACCATACACCCACCGACCGTGAAACAAAAGAACCACAAGGAACGGGAAAACACGGGGCCCAAATCCTCGCTGTACACGCATGCATCCAAAAACTCGCCCCCCGCCTGACAAGACTAACTACTCGCGTTGTACATTGGTCTCGTGAAAGCATCACGATTTACTCGTCACTGCGGGTCCCCTTTTTGCCGATCAAATCCGTCCTGCTCGTGGCGAAGCTCAAGCTCTCAGTTTCCCTGCTGATCTGATCGGCTTGAGGAGGGGGAGGGGGAGCGGTTGGAGGCGGGGAAGTTGCTGGCGGCGGAGGGGGAGGAGGGGGAGGAGGATGGAGGCCTGTTTCGACGTCGATGTCGTTTGCATCTTCTACGACGTCTGCGGGGCAGAGATCTCTTCGAGCTTGCACGACGATGCCGACGGTGATGGCGATCAGTGCGAGGTAGGCGAGAACCGATGCCACGGCGATGAACGCGGTGGAGTTGAGAACCCGTTTCCACTGCGCTTGCCTTTCGTCTGTGTACTGCTGTGAAGCATCATCAGGGCTGTTGGTGCTGGCAGCTTTGATTGACGGGCATAGTCTCCCGCTGCCATTGCTGCCTGGACATCTGACCCTGCATACACAAGTATAACAATACTTCCATTCAATGCCTACTCTCCTGGATACCCCATAAAGCTATTGCCTGTATGCCAAGGCTCGTAGAAGTTAAATCAATCGGTCTCATCCGTTCATCCATGACATGTAAATGTATCGATCATATACTGGAACAATTAGTGATCATCATGTGAGATGCTCTGAATTTTCCTTTATAGTTGTATCAGTATAACCAATACTGTATACACTACAGATATTTGGTAATTTTTGTCACTGAAGTAGGATACTTTTCATAACATTGCAAGCATTTAGACAGATTTGGGTCCTCCAATAGTGGCCTGCGTGTTCTGGTCTTTGTTTTAGCTTTTATCAGTAGTGATAGTGTGGAGCTTGCTGGTACTTTCGACGCATGTTTAACTTAAGTGAGTCGTTTAGTGATCAGGTGTTTAACATTAATATTCGACTCGTTTTTTCAATAAGAAAGTGTTCTTCAATGTACTGTCTAGACGTTTGACTGTAAACTAAAATAAAGACAAGCAAAACTTGACTACTTTTCACCGAATAATATTTAGCTTTCTTCAATGTTTTCTCATTGTTTGAAACTTATTCAAGAAAGCATGATACTTAACTCGTCGTTTCGTAGTAACTCCTGTAGATCACTGGTCTTAGAGCTCTTACTATTCTTTTGAAAAAATCATTCATTATCTTAAATTCGGTGACTGATAGACACATGCACAAATAAAAACTTAATTTTTTCCCAAAAGTGATACGAAACCCAAAGATAGCATCATACATTCACCAAATCCTGAAACACGTAAAGTACCAAGTCATGAACAAATAGACCAAATAACTTCATCTATTAGGTGAGGAATCATATCTCCAATAACTGATAGTTCGACATAGTCATAAATATAATGAATAATGAAAATTAGAGGAATGGGGTTGCATTACACTAGTTCAGAAACACATTTTCATACATTTTTCTAAACCAGAACGAGCTCGAGAAAACCAGAACAGTATGTTTTCTATGCACAAATCTTGAAGCATTATCTACCTTAGCAGAAGTGGAAAACTGAAATAGTAAAAGCAGTCATGAAGTTGAAGATGGAAATGTATAACTTACAGATATTGAAGAAATCGTCGGCTAGATGAGGCTTTTGCCACCTTGACGCTTGTATCTTCGTTTACAACTCTGCTGTCAGCAGAAGATGAATTTAGTTCTATCTGATTCTATCTCTTCCTGAACTACGCATAGGAGTGAACTTCTTATACTCGATCAGCATACTGGCAATGAAAACCTTGTCGGCTTTGTTCCGCAAATTCTAACATCGACGCAGTAAGTGAAAAAACCTCAACGTATGTGAAGACATCTCTTTCAAAGAATTTGACGAGATAAATAGGAAAACCCAAAACATGTAACGCTGCTTAGCAGATAACGAGTCCTTTAATTTTGTTGTAGATAAAACATGGTGAGCAACGATGGACAAAGCATAAGAAAAATCGTCTCAACATGAATTATGGGAGTGAAGAAAAACTATCATTAATCTCCCATTGCCATTTCTTGCCATGAGCGTATTTCCAACTCGTCACCATTTATCAAATGGCGGGAGGTGGAAGTATAAGATGCGACGAAGTGAGCACTTACATCTTCTCCACTTTCTCGAAACCACTAAGATCAGGAATGGCACCGACGAACTCCGTGTTATTCAGCAACCTGAGACGCACATACATCACATAAACCTTTCGATTGATATGGCTTCTTCTCGATCAGATGCTGCTATCACAGACATTGCCTACATTTGCACTGTCCAAACGCGATGGGGATAACAACTCCTCAGCTTTGGCAAAAGGTAAATCAAGATGCAAAATTTCTTTGCCTAGAGACTGCTGATCTACGATTTAGAATGTCCTTCTCAACTATTACAAGTAGGTTAAGGATATGAAGACTCCTGTTCTGTTACTGACAATTCCACAGATGGATTTCTTGATGGAAAATCGAGTCCGGCTTTTGAAAACCGGCATGTTTTGTCAGAAGCCATGGACAAAACGTGTAAAGAGATGCATGGAATGTTCTGCATGCACTCGACGACGACTCATGGCTTCAGCATGGGAACACATACTCATGACCTTTCAAGACACGAGGAGAGTACGGTTGGCGAGATTGTGCGCATGGAGCCTGCTCCATGCGCACAATGCTCCAAAGCTGGCAGTGATATGGAAATCTGGAGGAAATGGACCAGGGCAAGATGGAAAGTGTTTACGGTAATAAAATTTCATCACACGAGTGGAGGCAGGCAGGCATCAAGAACGATATGATGAAGGTATCCACAAAAGCAACAAATTGGGCTCTTGCAATTGCTTGATGGTCGTGCTTCAAGGAAGAAATTAAATCTCACAACCTCATAATATGAAAACTCAAAACTGGTATGGTGAAAAGAGAGAAAGCATGAAGCAAGATTATGAACATAGGAAGTGCAATGTACAGCGAACTAGTATCACCCGATAGAAGTAGAATGTAAAGGCTTGTGGGTATGAAGAGTTAGCCGAAGGCAAGCAGACGAATAGCAGAGAAGAGATTGCGCAGATCACATAGCCGTACTAGTGAACTTGAATTGAACTTAATGGAGAAAAAGGCTGTCACCCTGAAGTGTCTGTCTCCTTACAGTGAGGTGATTCTCGGCGGGTCGTGGGAGTCGCAAACGATCCAGTCCCATGAAATCGGTAGGCAAGGGTCACCAGTCCAGGCGATCGACAAATTCAAGCTTTTTTGAAGATTGGAAACCGCAATCACTGCGGCATCATCGAAGGGCAGAAACAACAACGATGATGATTCTCACAGCTTTACAACCAACGAACGTACGAACCTCGACGAATGCAGTTGCCAATCACTCCCCTACACATCGATCGACGCTAGCAGATGCAAGCGAATTACCACCACTAGCCTCATCTCTAGAGTTCGAAGAAGAAGAAGCTTGTAAGTCAGTACATACCGTCCTTCTTGTCAGTAAGAGATGCAGCAGGATACAGAGCGTAAAATTCCGCAGCGTTGAGGACGACTCCAGAGCCAGAGCGATCCACGCCTGGATTTGAGGAGGAGGAGGAGGTAGATATTCCCCACGTACTTTCGATGAAATCAGATTTGCTGTCCATGGTGCGAACGTCCCACCGAGTGCTCTCCAACATTCTCGTCGTTTCATCCGGAAGCAGCCCCTCCTCGTTGAAAGAAAGCAGCAAGTCCTCAGTATGCCTCGCCACCTCTTCCGATCGCCCCATCGTCCGCAAGTGCAGTATGGAGAGAAAGCGAGTCGTCTCTTGACAATCGAGCTCACGCTTCTTCCTCACGTGCATCCGGAATCTGATTTCAGTTTCATGGGACCATGCGGTCCCCATCACAGACGTCGGCAGATCAGAGGCTGTTAAAACCTGCGTTGTACTTATGCTCTGGACCGATCCGCCGGAAACGTTGTGGCTCGATCGAACCCAAATCCGATCGAAAGGATCCTCCGGAAACCTGATTCAGATTCAATTCCATCCAAGGCCTTAGCAGCAGCAGCAAGAGCAATTACAATTATCATTCGAATTTTGGTCGAAATTCTGGTGTGCGTGCTGTACAAGGGCTCTGAACTGATCAGACCACTCGTGAATGAATGCTGTCAATACTGACACGTCGATTGCAAAGGGATTTTTCATGTCTAACCGATAGCTACGATGAACACAAATACGTGCGGTTCGATCGACTGTGGCAACGCGAGCTCGATAGAGCAGGTGATGGCAAGCATTCAATCATTCACTGGCAGCTGAGTGGAATTACCTCAAGGGTCCTTGGGTCTCGTCCCCGCCGCAGTCCATTCTGCTGAGAAGAGAGAGAAAGCTTCCTTTCGCGAGCCGCCCATACGAAAGTTCCGGCAGAGGTCGGAGCTCTAGAGATGAGACAAAAGGGTCTCCGAGCCCGGTGTTGATCAAGCAGAAGAAAATTTGGTGGCTTTGAGCGATGAAGATGGCCTCGTGCGAGACGGGGTCTGCGTCATCGGACGTGACGGGCGAGACGGTGAGCCAGAGATTACCGTCGACGGAGACGTCGAAAACGGAAGCGCTAATATTTTGGTAGTCGCCCCCCGCGCTGTGACGAAAACCCCCCTCCAGCAGCTGAAACGAGGCCCGAATCAGATAAACCTGTCCTTCCTGGGCCGGCAGCGCATAGCAGTTTTTCCTCGTGGAGTTTGCGGTGGGGAAGTATCGTGCACTTCGCAGGGCTCGAGGTAAATTGTGTTTTCCAAAGTCTGATGACGGTGTTTCTAACGAGAAGGATGATGATGCGCTGCGGCGCAGCTGCAGATTGAATCCTGTTCCGATGTAACCGTGATCGGTGACCCATTGGATTCCAGTCTTTGCATCCGTGTATGCATCCTGACTTCCGCAGTCAATGCTTATAAATCCTGCAAAACCAAGCGGAATGATATCAACGGCACAGTGTGAGTGACTGAATGACTGAGAAACTAGCACCTTCTCCCAAACTCCTCGTGCGATGATTTCAACAGTTCAATGAAATCCAAAGCTGCTGAGATGCTGAAACCAGCTGCAATTCTGTCACCATTTCTGTCACTGAGAAGAATTGAGAGTTTGGCCCATTCTCGGTGACCGATTCCAGCAGCATGGTCATCCTTAACAGCTCAGAAGATTCCGAGGGCAGCTCAAACCGAGTGCGAGCGCACTCGGTTTCAGCTGGTGATTAATTCGAGAACTCACTGACAGACCTGGTGCTAAAGACTCATCGAACTCTAAAGCTCCTGTGGCGCGATCGTCGTCGTCATTTAGTGAAGTGAAGAGGAGCTGCTCGTGATCCGTGCTCACTCACGTCCGTAATCGGGTCGATGCGAACCGAGGAAGGGCAGGAAAACAGACGTACCATCTTTTTGGGCGGACACTTCACTCTGAAGTACGAGGAACAGGATTAGGCACCACAAGATTGTCATCGTCGTCGTGTGCAGTGACCGACTACGAGAAGCTTTTGCAGCGACGAGCTTACGGTACGTGGCTTTTATGTCCCTTCGAGGTCCGACTTCTCACGCAAGTCTGCTGAATTATTTTTTTCCTTTCGCAATCGACGCACGTCCGAGAGGTCGTTGTCTGTGGTACGGCGCATTCTAATCCGACCTGAGGTCGTTCGTCTGACACCTTTCTCCCCCTCCTCCTGTCCCCCGTCTTCTCCCTCTTCAAGTCCCGGGCCGCGAATATGAGCAAGAAGCATCTGCGTCTGCATCTGCATGCCCTCTCCTCGCGAGCCCAACGGCCGAGGACGTGGGGGGGCAGATTGGATTGGAGTGGCGATGGCGGAAATCTCCTGCGGTCGGGCCCCGAGCACACGTCCGAGCGAGGCCTCCGAGCTCCGCTACGTGTCCTGAAGCCCCTTCCGTTGGACCCCCATGATTTCAAAGGGTACTAATGCCCGCAGGATCAGGATGTCGACTGAGGAAAGAACTGAAGGGGTCGGGGGCTCCTGCATGGGGTTACGCGGCTCGCTCGCTGGTGGACCCGAGCGGCGATGAAAATAGTTCGATATAATGAGCTGGCGCTAATCCGGCCTTCGCACCGAGATGGCGATCGATCGATGGAATCTAGTCGGGCCTGCGAGCGGGCGAGTCAGGTCGACGATGCCGTCGGAGAACCGGCACGGCATCGGTCGTCTAAAAATTCTCAATCCGAACAATTTGGCACCTTCCAGCGATCGTCCGCTCGTGGTGAGGATTCACTCGCTCAGTCACACTGAAGCTTCCTTCTGAGCCAGCGTGCTCGCGCTCTGAGAAGGATCCGAGTCACCTGCGCGCTCCGTCACGGAACAGCGACCTTTGCAGCTGCGATCATGAGCTCGATCGATGCTCCGGAACGTGAGGCGAGGTTGTGGCAACGTTGGCCCCTCCTGGCTGGGGCCGACGGATGTGGGCAGCACCACGTCGACGGCTTCGCTTCGGCCCGAGTCGCTCTCGCGGACAGAGCAACGACATGTCTGGATCCGGTTTGTGATGTACCACCTGCCTCATAAGACACTGGATCGTCAAGAGAAGAGGCGAGGAGAGTATTACGCCTCGCTGCACGGCAGAAGCGAGGCGAGGTGCAGCTGAAAATCCGATGCATCCCAGATTTCTTGACCTGCACCGGTCCAGCCTGCCTCGATCTGATTCGTTCTTGGTCCTCGCTTCATTCTCTGCGTCCCTCCCTACCCGTGCCGTCCTTGAAGCCAGCCCGACAGCATATTCGCTAGTGGCGTTCCTTCCAGTTCACAAAACTCAGATGACCAGCCATTTATTTCTTTCCGAGTCTAGCGCCGATGTTTTCAGCCCGGCCACGGCCTCGGATTTTGTTGCCGGTCGGAAGCTCGGTCCAGTTCCGTTTGGTTTCGTTCCGTTCGGGTCGGTTGGGTCTGGGTTGGGGTCGGGTCGGGTCCGGTCGGGTCGATTTCATCATGAATCGTGATGGATCTAACCGTGGACTGGCGAGGGAAGCTTCTTTCTTGAGAGAGACATGTTTTTTTCGTGCACGAGTAGCTCTTGATGACTTCTTGTCATGGTTGGATAGAGGACCAGCATTTTTAAAGCGCGTATTTTCAATGGCATGGAACTGCAAGCGACATCCAAACCTCGAATCGGCTGAATTACGTTGCCGAGCTTCAGCAGTGAAGATTCTCCTTCGAAGATTCTCTCCCAGCCTCCCGGCACAGTGGTATAATGAAGATAGGCTTTTACAGGACAGGTTTCACAGTGCCCTCGTGTGCGTGTATGATTGATGGATTGCATCTCTGTACATCGACACTCCGACATTGCTTCTTTCTTTTTCAGGGTGATGAGCTATGCAACTATACTGTGATCAAGCTCGCTGCTGCTCATTCTGTTCTGGTCACTCTTTTCGAAAGGGTCATTCAATCAATCTTCTCAAATCTTTGGTGAATCATGATGAGTAGAGAAGGCTCTGTCATTGACGTTATAAGAAGGCCACGCACTGCTTTCTTTGAAATAATTTACACTACTAACGTAACGAGGAGATTGGGTTAAATTTGCATGCAGGCGCGTTGACAACAGTTCAATTTTGTGAACTACCAAGAGTAGACCATGTTGCTACTACCGGAGGGAAGTCGTCTTTGGTGAGCCCATAGACAGTTCGATTCGCTACTGGAAGTCAGACGAAGATGAGTGTGTGAGTATATAGCAAGCATGACTCGCATCCGATCTGTATCTAGCTCTTGTGAAGCGTAATTCATCTGCACTCAAACGAGATTCACGGCAGTTGACCCGAAAGCTGCTAGTTTTGCTGAGCAAAATGTGTAGAGAATTTAGAAGGTTAGATAGTGGTTCACGGCTTGTGACCTGTTTTGATCTCTTGGTCCAAGTCCCATATTCAGAATTTCAGAACAAACTGAACAGATTCACAAAGTTCATGCTCAGTCATTACGGACGAGCATGAGGAGAAGATCACAAATCGAGATTTTTTTATATAACGTGGTTGACATCGAAAATCACCTCCTCACCTTGTATATCGTGAGAGTAGTTGGTCAGTACATCGTGGCCATCCCCAAGTTGCTTCATTACAGCCGGCGAGTTCCGTCAAACTATCATACCTTACAATTTACTGTTGCTTTCTTTAAGAAAAAAACAACCGACCTCAAGAAGCTTGAGAACACGTCGTTCACAGCATCTGAGAAGAACCCAAAGATGATTGTTCTGCGATTGCGTCCAACTCGTACTGCTGAACATTGTAAAGCGTGGTACGAGAAAGAAGCCTCAGTGGACGAAGTAACGGAGAGGTTGATGCCCAGCCTACTATTACTACTTTTTCTTCTTCCTTGCCCCGCCTTTTTTCTTACCCCCACCCTTTTTGGCCTTTTTGGCTGCCTTGAGTCTCTTCCTTTTCAGCTTTTTGAGTACCTTCCGATATATTTTTCTGACGAGGAAACCACGCCAGATTCTTTGGATCCTCATCACTGCAACTAGCTGCAACTCGCATTTTCCCTGGTTTGCGTAAAAATATTCTTCCTGCTTGATTGCTTCAAGTCTAGCTGCCTCTAGTTCGGCCATTTCTTTCATGTACCTGTCACCAAAGATCAGTTTGCAATGTACGGATCAGTTGCACTGTCGCAAACTTTAACGACTTTGGCATCCTATATGGTACTTATGATCTCGATAAATATTCATGCATATCCTAGCACAAGACCGAGAATTTTTAAAAGACCCTGAGTTCCTACTCTGCTAACTCTTATCAATCCAAACCTTCAAAAACGGAGTATTGGACCAGCCATGAGGATATTATTTATCTGTGTGATTCGACGCAATAAAGGTTGCTGCATCGGGAACCGTGAATTGTATAGGTCTTTACCTAGGCTCCAGTTCTGCAAGAATTAGCTCCTTGTCCTTCTTTTGTAACTTCATTTTTTCAAGCATGTGGTCGAGGTTATGTACATCGATCTCGAAACTGGCTTGCAACGAAACTGCTTCTTCTCTCAGATCTATGTTCTGTTTTTTCAAGAACTCCACACTCGCATCGTGGACGTTCTTCTCGACCTGGTAATTGATCAATGGCTTCAGTGTATCAGGTAATGGTTCAATGGAAACCGGCTAATATTGTAAAATGGAAGGAGTAGACCCCATCAAGTCCTACAGGGATGAAATCAGATTATGTTTCGATAGTTGAGAGCCATTTCGACCTTGTCAGGATGGAGCTGCTAGCCTTCGAAGTGTTGGAACTAATTACTGCGGCTGTGGAAAACACGTAGTGCAGCAAGTTCTGACTTTCAGAAACGTCAACTTGATTACAGCGTATAGAAAGCAGAACTCGTACACATCTGATTTGAGTGCCTATGATGGAGGTGAGAAGGAGCAAGTGAGTTACACGCAGGCTGGAAAATGCTTCCATTTAATATAAAATCGGTTTGTCCTGATCGTGCTTGGTATTAGAATCTTTACCTCAAGGTCGTGCTTTAAGCGAACATTTTCTGCCCTCAGGTTGACAAGCCGAACCTCAAAATCTCGGCGACACAAATCTCCACTTGCTAAAGCAGTATCTGCCCTACAACAGCCACAATTAAATTTCTACAATGTACAAGTCTTCAAACATTTTTGTCAAGGTTCTGCTTCAACTCCTTGAATTTCGTTCAGAACACTCAAGAAGTGACTCAAACTTTGATCAGCTTCCAAGAGTGGCTTTGGTTGTAACTGGAAACCAAGAGCAAACTTGACCTAAGTAAGCACAGAGCTGGTGGCTAGACATCCTGTAAGAACGTAGACACGATGTGCAATGCATTAGCTGAAAACAGCCTCGTTCAATTTGACGCTCGACCTGCTTGCACGGTAAACATGTGATTTTCAACTGGCAGAAAAAAACATAGGATTCAGCCGACGCGGTGAACGGAGTCACGAATCCTTACTTGTATCTGTACTGGACCATATTATCCGCCCTCAATTCCTTTAGCTCCTGTGATCATCACCCACATGCATACATAGAAGCATTTTATAAGAGTGAGGTGCATTAAAAGAATGAGCAACTTGATTCTTAAGAGGACCAGGAGATTGATGTGACGAAGATGAGCGGGGTACACAAGCCAGGACAATGTGACGGCCATCTCTATCGCTGAGCTAAGACTGAAAGCGTTAGTGCACGTACGGATTCTATAGAATCTAGCGGTGATATTTGTGTGACAAGTAGCATCTATAGAGCATTATAAATCATTGATGTGTAATTATTCCATCTGGTATACTTCATCGAACCAAGCCAATTCCTCCCCTTGTAATTTTTAACGATAAATCGTGCGAATGTGTTTGTCTGAACTCGTATGACTCTGAGCATGATCCCCTCCAGGATGATATAACAGGAGTGAAATGGGATCCTGCCGACAGTTGTTCAGATTATCCACGCAGGGCTTTTCGTTTCGGCAGAGATCATGCACTCTTATATTATCTTTGGAAATACAGGAACACACTTTTTTCCTCTCTGCGATATTCTTGGCCCACTCGCGCATGGCTTCCTTTTGTGTTTGTGCCTCTGCTTCGATTAGGACATGAAGCATGTCCATCTTGTCTTTCAATTCCTTCACATGAGCAATACTCGAAGGTAGCCTTCTAATCTTCAATTCGTCTTTGTCCATGACGTCTTGAAACACGCTGAAACTGCTAGATTCCACCACCTGCTCCAAGGACGGAACTGTTGAACGAGTACCTTCGTGAACAAGCCCATCACATGAATTGCCAGAGCAGATTCCATTCTCATGACTTGTGAGAATTTTCTGAGATTAATTTTGTAATCCACCTGATTATATTTAAATGTTCAAGATGAATGAAAGAATTCAGAAGCCAAACTTCACGGCATATAATGTAGCCTGGTCAACATCATGTGCATCCACAGTAAGCTATCTGGATACTATCGCAGGCAGCAAAACTTCAAGCCTACGCACGTTCGCCTGTAGATGACGCGAGAATGTTCCAAAGTACAAAAAGGTTCACATTTCTTTCGATCTCCCATCGATTTTTTTAGTATATTCATCTGCCTGAGTGTAGATCTGGAGATAAAGCCAAAGCTATCACTTCAGTTTTCGAGTAAACCAACCTCTTTGTTAACCGTGGTCAGCACTCCAGTAAGCCAAGCCGTCTCTGTTGTAAATTTGGATAGCTTTGAAGGAATGCCCAAACTGAAATGAATGAGATTGGCAGCGTCAAGCAACTCTTTCTTTTCTGTGAGCACCGGAAGACCATCTGGAACATCTTCAAGATTAATGCTTGTATCATGGATCTGCAACCTCAGGAAGTACAATCATCAGTAAGGTTTTGAGGTGTGATTACGACGATGAACATTCGAAAATGACTAAGAAACCTAGTCTATCCCATGTTAGGAATTCCTTTGCCTTCATTCCATTCTAATGCATGCCTGTTCAATTTTATTGTCCTGTCAGATCATCTCTTAACCTTCTCCCAACGAACAGAGGCATTCCTTTCGTTCATAAAACCTCTGACTTGGCGAATCCTATTATTCGCCCTATTACTACATTACAGCAGTACAACATGTTCATATGCCGCCACAAGATATCTTAGCGAGATAAATTTGGTGCCATGGCCTCCTTACAGCCTCCTGGTGCACTGGAGATGTTTTTACCTTGCAGACTTGGGCATGGGCGACTTGTAGTAACGTTTAATTACGCATGTTTTATTAACCGTTTATCTCCGGCTCCAGATCACATAGTACATGGAACTCCCAACATTGATTTGAGCTTGAAACGAGAAACTAGCAGTTTGGCTGGGGCAGGACAATATTTGTCCTGCCCCATCTCTTTAGTCTTCATTAAGGTGTTGAACGGACTCGCCTTCCTCTTCCTCGCGTCCTACACGTACTCCTGACGAAGCAATTAGCTCGAAGACTCTGAACCGTACTAAGGAAAAACGCTTGAATGCCTGGACTGCATCTAGCAGCTGTTGCATCCCATGATACCAGTACACAAAAGTCGAGATGGTGTCGTCTAGTCCAAGTGCACAAGGTGCGCTCCTCGGCTTCCCTCTGTAATTAGCTAGAGTCAAGTCCACATCTCTCTGTGGGGCCCAAAAGCCATCACAGAAGAGGATTTCGAGCACAGCGCAGCGTGGAGATGGCAATCACCGTCTAGGTGTAGGTCAAAGCTCTACACAAGCATTGACACGCATCGATAACAGACAATGGCTTCTAACCACCAGTTACTTGGAACCTTTCCATGTCAGGACATCCAGAGACTCCCGATACTACTCGACTTTCCAGGATCCTGAAATCATCGTCCTTCACCAGGGGTTAACGTCGAGCACACAGCCCGGATATCGGACTGTAAATGACACGGATCACATGTACAATACAGATATGCGAAGGGAAGGCGTTGCGTTGAAGACATGTCCCCTTTCCAGATTGCTCTGTTCGTTCATCAATGCCCATGCTGACGTTTCCTGGTCCGAAAGGTACCCAATCATAGACTTTGGCTCAGTCTCACCTCGAAGGCTGACGTGATCCATGTTGTACAGTGTTATCTCACAGGAAACTTGCTAGGAAGCGCATAATCTTCTTCGGGAGCGACAAGTACATGGAGTGGGTCTGCTTCCCGAGCTGGAGACAATTCTAGCGAATCGAATATGCTATACCTGGCGTCTCTTGTAATCTTCCACCTCCATTATTGCGGAGATGCCAGTACAAGACATCCTGATTTCGGTTGACAAGCTGCCGTAATGTCACCTCGAGAAAAGTACCTGCTACTGAAGTTTACTCTAGAGGCATTATGGATACTGCCTGTGCCCAAAGTTCCAGACGGTGGAACGGTGCTGGTGGAGAGACAAGACAGACTCTTCGCAGAGGTAAACATTCTACACGAGATCGAAAGAAATTCGGTTCGAATTTGCGAGTACCGACTGACAATCCCTGAGTGGGCAAGTCAACCTCTTGTCGGTTCCCACGAACTTCACAGCAGTAGATCCAGAATCTTAAGGTTGATTCGTGTTTTTTCATCCGATTAATCTGAATGTGAGATGAGCTTGCCTATTACTACGTGCTTCAAGTCGTGAATGTGTAGCTTTTAGGCCTTGAGAAAGTTTGTAACATGGGAGGGACATGAGGTCAGAAGTGAATCACCGATGTAGCCCCGGGCAGTGTAGCCATCAGGGACAGACGCTCCAACATGCCTTCAAGGAAGCCCATTATATAGACTCGGAATTTGGTCGATAATTGTTCCTCGTCGTCAGTATCGTCGACACTGCTCTGGACGCTTTCATCTTCGCAAGCGGAACCTCCTGTGGTGGAACCTGATGACTTCTCGGACCAGTCGGACTCCGTTTCAGTGTCGGAAAGGACGTCCACAATAGAGGCACGGGCTTTGACATCGCCATAGAAGGATCCCCGTCGAATAGCGGCTGTTATGGAAGGCCGTGGAGTGGTCGGGGGGATTGTAGTCTCGAGCTCTGGGTCAGTTACATCCGATTCGTCATCGTCGCCTTCGGCATCGGCAGCTTCTGAGGCCTTCTCTTCTATTTGGAATCTCACACCTCCTTCCTCTTCCTTATGCTTAGTCTCGGCCTCAGCCATTCCTCCAGCTTCCACCGGTCCTCAGAACGACAAAGTTTTGCGAGGCCGACCCTCTGACCTAATGCTCACATCCCGGACGAGACAACTCACCTCACACCTCTCGACAACAAGCAGCACCACCTCTGGTCGAAATCGGTAACATCCTCGCACGCAATCCCCTGTAGCAATCAGGCTCTCGTCCTGCCATTAGTACGGAAAGAGCTCAATCCTACATCCGCATACAGTCCGTCTCATTCCCGCGGCCCAGGGCACTTATCGACTTGAATTTTTCCCCCCATATTCAACCTCTTGGCACATTCCCTCCGATGATCGATCACACGATCGACCTAGAACGTGCATTGAGGTGAGGGGTGGTGGACTGAGAGATGAGATGAAATGAAGTAAATGCGCTCCGACGTCCAAGTCGAACAGGAATCAATTCCTTCATCACACGGCGAAATCCCATTCCGCCGACCGAGTCGCAGTAAAAACCCTCCGCCACGACACAGACACTTCACCAAGCGCAAACAATTAAAGCACCACGAGAACCATCACCAGGCAAGTCAAGACGAGACGAGACGACACGCGCTGAGGAAGATGGTGAATTCGCAAGAAAATTCGAGTTTCTTCCACCTAATTTAAATCGCAGATTTCGAGGCGACCGAGAAGAATTAGGAGAAGGAGAAGTAGAAGGGAACCGTAACGAATTGCGACTCCCGAAACTGACATGCACATGCACACGCACTCGCACTGCTGTGCCTGACACCACAGTCGATCGCCTGAATCTTTGTGGCCAGGGAAGTCCGAGGCCCGCATCTGCAGAGCAGCCAGCAGCTGGCAGCGAAGGCCAGGAGGATCTGCAGCACAGTACCAGGTGCGGTACTTTACCCGGTACAGCGTTCGGCCGGTCGGTACTTCGTGCCTTGTGCGCCGTTCACGTCACTTTGTAGCGACAGCAAAGTCGACGTAAAGATGGACGGAAACAGCACCGCCTCGTAGAGTGGTTCCGTCGGTTGTCGCGCGGCGCTACGGGACTGCGAAGAAGAAAAGACACGAAGTGCACTTGGCACAACATTTTTGGTACGGACGAACGTTAGGTGTGGAGTAAGAGAGATACCGATTTATTATGAGAGAATCTAGCCACCTCCTCCAAGTCATCTGTTTTTCGCCTCGGTGACTTTTGATTTGTAAGGCTCTTAAGATTAATATCTCCTCCTACATTCCACATTTCTCTACCCTGAATTCCGTCCTTACTTACAGAATCCTCAAAGTTCGACCCAGAAATCTTTTTCGTGAGTTCACAGTGACACAAATGTCATCTCTCGAATGAAGGAAACGCTTCGGAATGATTCAGTGGATATCCGAGAAATTAACATGATGCGCAGCTAGGAAATATGAGTAATAACTAAACGCCTAGTTGAAACATTGGATCTTGAATACGAGGATTTCCATGTCATTATGAAGGTTCAAGCGAAATGGCGTACGATCTTTGTTGAGGGGATGCGAACATCAGTTATGGTATTGAGAAGGGAGAGAAATACCAATGAAATCATAATTGATGGGAAAATCCCACCACTACAAAGATCCTGAGTCCATGTTTCAGTACTACACCCACTAAATGAGTCCAAGGGATTCTTTAAGAAAAGAATGTATGTCGATGTTGTATGAGATAAACTCAGCGCCTTGAGGCCTACAGCTCGGCATGCATCCAAATGTTACGGAGAACGTGGGGGGTGACGTGACGGGGCGGGCGGGGGATTCACTGAACGTTATCCTATGCCTGTCACATGAGGAACGGACGGAGCAAAAGCTCGTTGACAATCGAGGGAGATTGCTCCTTCGTTTCCCGGAACTCGATGGAAGTGCAATACGCTCCGTCCGTAGAAACGCGTTCTACTGTGTTCGAGGATTCGAGATTTGGTTTCGGTATTTAAAGCTTCGAGGCCCAGGCGAAGTTGACTACTGTTCCGTAGGCATTCAGTACTCTACAGTACAGTAGCTCTCTCTCTCTGCTCGAATCCAAAGTCCTTCGGACTTCCCCCTTCGAGCACACGACAATTCTGTTGTCCAAAGTCCGGATATCCACGTGCATGTAAGTGTGATTCGAGGCAGTTCGCGCTCTGTGATTTTCAAATTGAACTGCCTCGCCGAATGTGCAATTGTGACATGACACCAGCTAACGACTATCCACATGAATGTCCTTAATGATCGACGAGTTTTTCGAATGGTGTTTTCGTGTTGGCATTTTGAATAAATGTATGTTCACTATATTTTCCATACCATATGTTTGTTCACTATATTCTACAAGGCAATTATATATAACTTATAACTTTCTTTAAATTCAACTTTTTCTAATGTTCGGTTTACGCATGTAAACCGAGTTTCTACCTCTCAATTTGAATAAGTTCATGGGAGATTGCGTATAGCATATTTTTTGAAAATAAATCATGTAACTTTATCTCAGAAAAATATGCATATTTTCTAGAGTAAACATTGAAAAGTAAAAGATAATGAAATATTTTTAAAGAGATTTAATCTAAATTAAAAATTAATTTCATTATCTACAATGGACACTTAAATCGACCATGCACTTCTTATGAAATTTCATTTAAATGTCTGTTGTTTGGAGACCATTTCCTTTGACCTTGATACTGTACATATCTTAATCGCAGAATAGTTTATTTCACTTTGTGATACTACTTGGGACCTAGCCCTTGTGCTTGTATGGCTTGATTGAGTCTTCCCAACCTTTTGTTTTTTTCTTGAATGGGAAGGCTGAAAGATTCGTAGGTATAGGATAAGTAGACTTGAGATAGAAGTTATCACCTTAGTGATAATGTAATTAGATTCAGACAGACATTCGTGAAGGTTACATGATCATAAAATACGTATGTCTTGTAGAGAACCTTTCCCTCCATCCATGTGTTCCCGCGAGTCAAGGTTCGTGAGGTGAAAGGGCAGTGGGGGCCGTTTTGGAACAGGTCGTCATGACTAAAAAATCGGTAGGACGAAAGGTCAAAGTAAGTCACGATACTTCATTCTAATAATGAAAAGCGAATCTCCGAAGGAACATCTGAGGACGTCGGTAATGAAGCGAAGTGGTGGAGTGAGGGTGAAGGTGAAGGTGGCAACGAGAACGAAGTCATAAGCAGCAAGAGTGTGCAGAGTTCCACTTTCCGTTACTTTGCTCATTTTCGTCCGAGCATGCGTCAGGATCATGCACGTGGCGACAACACACGGAACGCGATGTCTCGAAGTGCCTTCCTCCTTTTCCCGGTCAAATTCCTTCGTATTTTAACCTGAAAGTGAGATCGCGGCGTCGGGAAAAGGCGACTCCTCCAACCACCCGCGACGATGATGAAGCTCTCCGGAGGTTGAAGAAGTCGTGCCTTCTGTACCGAGGGCTCCCTTTTCGTGTTTCCTCCGATGGAGATGAGGTAGATTTTGAACCTCGGAGACCTTCAACCCAGTGTTAAAGAATACCGGCTGTCATCTTGCCCATATAAAGATTGCATCACGTGCAAGTGCATCATCCACTAGGCTTTTCTTCGAGACTGATAAGCACAATTTTCCAAATCAGCTTAGCCGGTCTCAACAAATTGTTCTTATTACAAATCAAATCTGTACATCATATGAGAAACCAGCAATTTGTATCCGTACACATCACAAGTGTGAAAATCCATTAGTCCATGAAATTTACGTAAATAAATGGCTAAAAGTCATGTGCTTGAATTGTGTACATCATGCAAATAAATTTACACATTTTATGACGAAAGAGTTGTTCCAAATGGAATCGGAACAACTTTTCCTAAAACAAGCATAGTGTAAATTTTGTAGTACTTATCTTAGACGATTCTGAGAGTTAGCAGGATCATTTTTCTGGGGTCGTCATATTTTCTTCTCCTTAGGCTATAATATAAAGGCTATTTCCGAGTTCGTGGTGCTTTTTCAGAAAGCAGAATAATCTGACAGCCGATTCAGGACAAACTTTCAACCAGAAGCTCGACACCGAGAAAACGGTGGCTCGTGTTTTTTCGGGAAATCAGTGAAGAATCGTGAAAAGAAGACGAGGGGAAGAAGAAACAAGAGCAGCAAGCGGGTTTCGATGCGAGCCACGAGAAGGAGATGAAAAGGCGATCGAGATTGACTTGAACAAAGCATGCTTCCACATTCCGGAAGTCGCAATACGATCGGCCGGACGAAAGTCAAGGCGGTGCACTTGGCACTTGGCACTCGCACGAACCAACTCGCCTTCTTGCTCTGCATTTAAATTTCAAACAAACCAGCACGACACGAACGGAAGTCGACTGAGAATCTGAGCTCCCTCATCCGTCCACTGCCGTGAGCGCGTACGGTGTCCGTCCGTACTCTCTCCCTCATGGACTTATCGACGGGAAAGGATGAAAGCATCGCCGGATCTATGGATCAATCATTTGACGATCACCGATCTATGACTCGAGCCCTTCCCTTCCCTTCCCTCGAGCCTAGACTGCGTCACCGAGCAGACAGACAGACAGACAGACAGACCGACCGACGAGTTGACGAACCCAACGACCAGTCCAGACTCTTCCGTGCTCCGTTGTCTCGAGGTTCCTGCAAACGACCACGACGGGAGCGACGGCGTCCAGCGCGCCTTACGTAGTCAACGACCGAGCCTTCCGTCTACCATATCATTTCGCTTCGCCTCTCGTCTAACGGCAAGGTGCCAAATTGACAGTGGGGGAAGGGGTGCCACGTGAGCAGCGGTTAGAGGGCAGAGCCTGAAGGTCGTTGAATGCTCGACCAGTGGTAGTGAGGACGGGCGACACTGCTCAGAGCTTACTGTAGGAGAGAGCAGGCGTGTATGTAACCGCGTAGTCACTGTGGACAGTGTGTGATTACTGGAAACCCGGTACATGGTAAGCGCAGGCAGGGGGCGAGCCGGTGGTCAGGTCGGGGCGGGCCTACTTACGGCGTGCTTAGCGAGTGATTCCAAGGCTGCTCGTTGGCGCTGCTGCGGGCTTCTTCTGATCTTCTTCTCGTCCTGCTCCTCCTTCTTCGCGTTCCAAAAGGCATAGCTCCGAAGGAAGGGCAGGAAAGGGAAGGGAAGGGAGGGGAAGGCAGGAACGGGACGAGGGGGTCGGTTTGCTTTGCGCTCAAGTGAGGTGAAGGATACAAACGCCAATCGATCCACCCCATGCATGCAGTGTTGCCTAGCCTAGATACGACGACGCGTCGCTGATTTCGACCCATCTCCATTCCTCTCCCCCTCTCTTCTGTTCTCTTCTCTTCTCTCCTCTCCTCTCCTCTCCTCTCCTCTCTCCCTCTTCCTCTTCCTCTCCTTTCTCTTTCTCTGCCCATTCTCTGTTTCCAATTTCTTCGTTGGTTTTGTCCCTTCCTCACCTGCTCGAGTCTCGTCTCTGCACCACCCCTTTCTCAGTCTGTGTCCCTTATGTCCTACTAGGTCACCCTCCGTCACGCCTTGTGGCTCGAGATTGCTTCTTGTCGTCGGAAACGAGAGCAAGTGTGAGTGTGTGAGAGAGTTGTGCTCTCGGTAAATAGTTTTTGTTTGCTTGTTTGGTTGGTTGGTTTTTGGATAGATTTCGTGCCGGTAGATTATCAGCAATTCTAGATCGTCGAGTTTCTCATCCGCTTCGTGGAGTCACAGTCGAAGCGATTGACTTTTAGAAAACATCCTTCGCTTTGCTTCTCTTCTGTTCTTCTTTTGCCTCAACAACTTAATTTCTACATCTGGAGAGCGAGTGAGTCAATCAGCCGCTTCTCGTTACCTGAACGAGCTGCCTTTACCGGCATCCATTTCTGTTCCTAACCTTTATCTTAGCACCTTGATATCTTCAGTGTCGGTGAGAGGGCGGCAAGTCCCTGTTTTTCTGGGCTTCGACGTCCTGTGGCTGGCCTTCGCCTTCGCTACATCGATTAGTCGATCTTTTTGGAAGGCAAGAGCAGGGCCGGAAGCGGGTCGGTGGATTGATACGCGCAGACACCTGGAATTTCGTACGATTTATATTCAAAAGCAGGCAAGGATCGAAATTGGGATAGATGAACCCTTTGCTTGAATTGGTCTACCAGTTTGAAGAGTAAATCTTTACTTACTTAAGTTTCGGATCTGGAGTATGACGGATTCTATACGAGTCCACATGTACGTCAACCTTGCTGCTAAAGTGAGGTTTTCATCAATGTGCTTCTTGTGGCCACCGTTTGTAATCACAGCGCTTCTTCTTCAAACTTTTGTATCACCAATCGCGTGTCGCACTAACTGATTGATGAAGCAATCTCGTACAGTGTACAGATTGTAACGGCATTACTTCATCCTTTATACTATCTGTCTAACGGCGTCGACTCTAATCACAATTCCAATTTAGTTTCAGCCAGAGTTAATTGCCGGATTATCTATAGTTGTTCCTTCACTGTAATTTCTTCTCGGAGAAGCGTCCAGGAATGACGTTCGCTCGATTCACTGGGAACAGCCTTGGCACCGACATTTAACTAGAGATTCTGGGACTGAAGTCGGCTGATCTATTCCGTGACAGGCTCCTGGTACTATGCTGTAATGAACAATTTGGTCATTCGAAATGTGAGATATCTAATTGATCTTTCTGCAAACCTGCAGGCATCTTAATTGGGAGATGGGGAATGGTCCATCTAAAGAGGAGCAGCTCTATCAGGCTGTAACCCAGTCAAATCATCAAGCTGTGAAAACTCTGAAGCGAGATGGTGCTTCCTTGGAGGTTAGTCTTCATTGTGGATAATGGCTGATGATGATGGTGTCAGTTTCGACGGTGCTTAATAAGAAGCCTTCCTTCTCACTTCTGCCCGAGGAGGTGGCAACGAGCTCATTGTCAATGTTTTTACGTTTTTTATCTGCCGTTAGCACCGCATGGTCTTCAGGCCATGAAGGCGAATGAGTACAGTTTTCTCATTGCTGTCGTGGACCTGCTTCTTTTCTTTGCCATCCAATCTATTACACTGATTGTGACTATTACACTGATTGTGACACTCGCCTCTGCAGTATGTCGACAAAGAAGGCCGGACACCGCTTATTCTTGCATGTACGCGTGGAGACCTTTATGACATGGTGATAACATTGCTTAATGAGGGAGCCAAGCTTGATGCTTACAGACCTGGTATGGTTTCTTTCATTTAAATATTCAGATCTGTGCTTAGAAATTTAGGTCGTCAGATGTGCATCGAAACCTACTGGCTGCGCTGGTTGATACGTGGGGATTACATGCCAAGATTTTATTACATGCGTCCATAAGCTTCGCGGTAAGGTGACTTGATTCCACACTTAAAAACCGGGTTTCTGAAGGCAGAGCGCCTACTTGGGACGTGTCCTTATTACTGAAGCTGGACTGAATTTAGATATTCTTATGGCAGGAACTCATGGTGGCTTCCCTCTACATCATGCCGCGAAGAGGGGTCTTGATAAGACTGTTCTTCTCTTACTTTCGCGAGGAGGTAATTATCTGTCTAAATTCTCTGCAATCTGCCAGTATTCTGTGGAAGTGGTAGACCTAATTAAACCGTGACTGAACTTGTTTGCAGCGGATCCACTTGCTATCAATGATGATGGATTGACACCTCTAGACATGGCAAGACAAAGAACTCAAATTTCGGTCGTACGAATCATTGAGGTCAGTTATGGGTTTAAACTTTCACGGTCTCTCAGTTCAATGTCCTGCCGGAAACGTTATAATATTTCTTGTAGAGTTTCACACAAACTCCCTGGATGTGTTGCCGTTTTCAGGAGCGTATATGTCTCTTCAGTGGCATGATGCGCGAGCTAGCGGGACCAGGATTTCTGGAAACCGTTATGGCGCAGCTTTTCACCAAAAAGATGTGAGTACTGTCAGACAAGTTCATTACCCACCAGATCAAGAGGTCCCTCGAAATTCGGTGAATAAGATAGTTAGTTAGTTCACGCTGATGTTTGTAAAGTTCTTACTTACAATCAGATTACCGAGTTTCTAGTGCTGATCAAGTGTATCTTCTTTGATTTTGGAGGAAGAATTGACTTTCACTCTAGCCGACTTTATCGCCTTTTAGCTTTCAATAGTATATCAGGATTCTCACGTTGTGAAAGCTTAACCTTACGTTGTGTGGATCGCTATTTAACAGAAACCCAGTTAAGACTAGTCGTTGGGAGGGATAAAGTGGTTGCCGAAAGTATGTTAAATGCACGAAACATGATCAAGTTGAAGGAATAAGAGTACTAGCCAGATGATTTCAAGAGTTATAGGGATTGATAATTACTGATCTTACGACAATAGAAGTTCAACAATTCGCTCCTTCTTTAGGTCTAAGTATCAACATTAGCGACCAAAGGACGCAGTGTCCATCATAATTTCTCATTGTCGATGCGATCGCATTACCAAAGAGTAGATTATTCTAACCTCTTGATAAGTTTTAACAGGACCTTGACGTTTTATTGCAAGTGTGGAGCAGTTGGGTGGTCGTATTACCTACGGAATCAGACTCACGACGGGCCTGCAGAAATGAGCTGGTGATTTATCAGTCTCCCAAGGTGAGACATCAACCTAAACCACATTTAGAGTTTACATTGTGCCGTCATAGATGAGCCAGGGTTACTACAGTTGATAGTATATATTTGATATCCCACATGACAGAGCTCTCTCTTCGAGAGAATTCTCCAATTAAGAATATGTAGCTTAGTTGAATTAACCTGGGTCTTATGGCCTGTAGGTACGTCTTTGGAATGGGGGAGTGAACTCTCCTACGTTGCCTTCAGCTTGCAAAGTTCGTAAGTCGTGTCTGAATGTCTTATTTAGAAAGAGGTGTCTGGATCGTATCGAGCCCAGTCTAGAGCTTACCTGAAAGTTTGAACTATCTAGTGGTACAATACGTTATGGTTATCTTAAAGTTTTCGTCGATTTGCGCAACTTTTTGAACTTTTACTATACAATTGTCTGTACAATCCGACTGACTAGTGCAAGAGTGCGTGTTCACCTTGAGAACTACTCAAGACCATGAATTGGTGATTGAAGTCGCAACAAGTGTAGTCCAGGGTAGAAATTAATACTCTTATGTACGTGGATGTCACAGACTGCGATTCCACGGACAGTTATCTCGTTAGCCAAGGCTGAAGTGGAGGAACCTAAGTTTAATTTGGCCGATCCTCAATTGGTAATTACGGCCACGGACAAGAATACAAGTAAGTGAATGTTTACTCACCTTTAAAAATCTACTGTTTTTATTCTGGGGCTGAGCATTGCTTACCAAGACTTCAGACTTACTTGAGATTAGATAAGTCTCATGGCAGATGTAAAAAGACGAAAACCGTATAGCTCTATTTGTCGCCTTTCTCTCTTGTGCAATCTGGATATAAGGTCAAGTTGCTGATCCTATCGTTTAATAGCAGCAAAAGTCGAGTCCCACTCAATTACTTACGAGACCTTGTTGGTCACTGACGACAGAGGTGAAGTTCAAGTTCCTATCAGAAATTGAGGGTGATAAAGCTCAGCTCGAAAGGCTTTACAAAGCTTGCGCCAAGGGGTTACGCCAGGTAAATTAGTGAATTTTAGTCATATCGTTTAAACGCCATTCAAGATATAGTTGAACTTCCAGTTATCATTTGGGCCGATGCCTCAAGTATGTCTTGTAAGATTGCAGATGGTACAATTTTGTCTCAAATAATTTCAGAAGTTTTGTACAACTTGCCTGGAATGTGTGCAGACTGGAACTACATCATCAACCCAGCCAGGTCTACCATCACAAGTCGCTTTGCAAGGTCTGCAGGCGCTTATCCGTCCCTCGGGTGTACAGCCCTCTGCGCCTAATAATCAAGTGGCATTATTACCTCCCCCTCCCCCTCCTCCTGTACGTCAGCCTCCTCCTCTGCCTCCGCCAGTTGCGAGCGGGGAGCCAATTCTTGGGTATGGCCCACCTCCTCCAAAGCGCAGACCTGCCCCTCCTCCTCCCGTCCCTCCGCCAACTGGCAAAGGAAAGCCAAGCAAAATTGTCGATGATGAGATGTCAGAATCGCTCGCCTTAGCCTTGGCAATAGATGCATCCATACGCACTGCCTCAGAAGAAGGGATCCCCTTGTCTCCAACAGCCCATCCCTCATCTTCATGGGATAGTGGTCAAAGTAGTTATGGTCCATCTGATATGAAGAAGGGAGATACGTCAGACTTTGGTGGCTGGGCTGATGATGCTGAGCAGGGTAGCTTCAGCGGTTGGGCTCGTGGTTCGAGTACTGGAGCTGGACCGTCCAAAGTTCGCAACTCATCCGATACGAGCTCTAGTTCATCCGATTCCAGGCCTGGAAGCACGAAACCAAGCAGTTCAAGGCCTGCTAGCTCTCCAACACAGTCTTCACAACATAGTGATGTTCCCTTGCCCTCACCCTCACCCTCGGCCCCACCTCTTCCTTCAGCTCCCCCTCTTCCATTGTTAGAGGGCCCAATTCACTATCCCTCCGTGGATATGACACCAGTTCAGATTGACTACACAAATAACTTAGCGATCGTGGCAGTTCCGCCTAGTGAGCAAAAGACCGAGAAAATCCCGGAGGAAAAGATTGGTGGAGGACAGTGCGTGGTATGCTGGGATGCACCTGCGCAAGCTGTCTGTATTCCGTGTGGTCACCTAGCAGGTTGCATGAGTTGCCTAACAGAGATAAAATCGAAAGACTGGGGATGTCCTGTGTGTCGGGCACCCATTCAGCAAGTTGTGAAAGTCTATGCCGTGTAAATGTTTTCTTGTAGCTAGCTGTGTACCAAAAAGAGGTATAGTAGATTATGGTTGTACCGTGTTAATATGAAAAGGTAAATGAAGCTGGTCTTGAGAAGTTCAGCTTTCAATCCATTGTGAACTTCAGCAAATTTTTTAATTAACCTGTTTATAGAGGTCGCTTGAAATCTTACTTTCATGTTTCTGTATCGGTGGTTTATACCACCAAGTCCAATTTGCCTGCTCAACTCTGGCTACAGTGTGATTACATTACAGTTCTAAAGAGAAAAAGTGCAGGCAGTGGAATCCTCCAAGTCTGGGCATGAAAGCTTATGATTCCTACATAGCAAAGAAGTTCAAAAGATATAGCTGTCTGTGAGCGTTTATCACGGTCCTGCCTCGTGACATCTTTCTAGGCTAGAAGTAGATACAGACCCAGCGTGGTGACACTTGGGTGTCCCCGGTGTACATATGTGGAAGTGTAGTACAGATCTCTACAGGAATTAGCTTAGCATTGCCTGTGAAAGGCGCATTCTCTTGTTTCGGTTATTTATCCAATTTATGCAAACAGTATTATACCAATTGGGTTCTGAGGAGTGTTTTACAGTACTCGCCAAACTCTTGTTGGTCGGAGCTCTGCGCTTGCACTCTTTCTGAAGTGTACACTGTGAGTCTAAACCAGAGAGCATCAATTGTCAAGTATTATTCTGATTCACTGTCCACAGCTTACTTTTTCTCTTTCAGTTCCAAAGTTTTGGGAATGCTCTGCACTGTTTAGTCTCATTTAAATTGTTTCAACACCACACGGTGTTACGAAAGATACGTAGCTTATTTATGATAAACGAGGAATAGTTTGAATGCATGAGTGTATGATCAAAATCGGCACGTACTTGTGGTGTTGATGGATCACAAGTCGAATTGTCCAGAAAAACTCACTTTATAAACTTCCACATATTTTATAGGAATGTAATACGGGAATTTACTTAGTGGTTATTTTGTATTACGTTCCTGAAAATTTCATTATTTATAAGATTCAAAGTTTTCCTCTTGGAAAAAACTTCTTAACAAATAAAATTTAAAAATAGTACACAGATTGTACCTGTGGTTTTAAACATCCGTTTTTTCATCTTCGAATCCCACCCTTTCTTCAATTTTGCTTGATTAACTTCAATTGCTTGTCTAACCCGCAATTTTACCTCGTCCAATTCTTTAAGTTGTACTAACGACCTTTGCTGAGACTCATCCGTATCCAACCTTGTGTTAGAAGCGATGCAAAGGGTCATCGCGACTTGACCTCCGGCTGTTGGTGCGCTTGCGCCCATGATGCACTATGCTATCACTAAAGTGTTCTGTAACTCTGCGAGTTGCTTATGTTCCTGTTGGCTGCAAAGCCTTGACGTCATACGATGAACAAAAGGGAGAAAACGCCTTAGCTGTTTGGAATGTTCAGTTGTATACTTATATTGCATGAGGGATCTTGAGATCCCAATCATTATTATTTGACCTTGCTTTTGTTTACATAATAGTCATAGTTTGCAATGTCTTGTTCGTTTGTTTGACTATTCCATTTGTAATTGGTTTGTACATAGTTGTAACCCTATGTTTGATTGTTAATAGTTCCATCAAATCCATCCATATGTGAATTGAAATCCATCATTTTAAAGCATCTCTAAAGGAATGACAAAACGATTTCCGATATGTCCATACGCAAACCGCCCTAACTCCTTTTTGGCCACAGTTTTCAAAGCCAGAAACTCCAAAATTTTATAAGAGAATATGTAGCAACAACAATGTTACCTTTAAGTGATAGTAAAAAGAATCCATTGATTCAAAATTTCATTTTTCAAATGGCTCCAAGGGAATAATATGGTGCAAGTTGCTGCTCACCGTAAATTTATTCGTGAATATCTACCACATCTTGCAACGTTAGTAGTAGTCAAAAGTATACTTGAACATATTGGCCAATAGTATCCGCCACAAGGATTTTTTTTCACCGTAATACATCCCACAAAATATTTGCCACAAAATCTTCATGAAACTCTCGTAATAATTTGAAACAATCGTTTTTTTCATTGCACGGAAAAGATATCAACTCTCTTGCAAAAATTGAATAATTTACATATCGGAATATAAAATCAACTCGAATGTGCAATTTTTGTACTAATTTATTTGATTCCACCATTCAAATAACTCATATTTTTGAGATTTCTTATGATATACTTGTACTTTAATAGTTTTTTGTGAATGTAGATCGAGATTAACATTGCTTCTAACAACTCATCATCTTAAGAGTTGACTTTCATCTCCTTCTTTCGTGAAAAAAAAATCAACATTTCCATATTTAATACTTGCTTGATACATAATCTTGAAGTCAAATTTTTGAAGGAAAACTATACATAGGGCGATTTTCTTGTCGCGTTTAGTTTGCCGAGAAGATAAATTAATGCTTGATAATTGATAACCACAATAGCTTTCGTTCTAAATAAGTAGTGTCAAAATTTCTTCAATGCAAAAACAAAGTCTAACTCTTCTTACTTCATTCTTGTAATTCATCTCTGCCTTGTGAGTTATTTGCTAGTATATAAGATGAGATGACTGTATATTTACTCATTCAGTTATGCTAAATTTGCACAAACTTCTTCTCCAAATGCATTCGTAAAAGCTAAAAATGGTTTCTTCCAATCTGGAGTTCGTAAAGTTAATTCGAAGATGTCAAAAGTAATGTTTACATTAATTTCTCAAAAGTCTTTAAAGCCTCCACTGTAACTTGTGGAAGAGAAGCATTATCATTTCAAAAATCTAGTTAAAGCTTTAACAATCATGACGTATCGCTCAATGAATCGGCTATAATAATCCATGGTTCTCAAAAATGCTCTAATTCCATGTATGGTAGTAGGAAATGATGCTTCAAAGATCGACTATATTTTCTCCGGATTGATACCAATTCCCTCTTTGAAAATGATATGATCAATCAAATGTCAAGACAAAATTCTTATTTTTGTTTTTTTAACCCTAGTTTGAACCGTGATGCATCTAAGCGTTCAAAAATCTTCTCCAATTCCATCAAATGTGAAGTCCGATTCTCAAAATTTCAAAATTCATACATATATACTTTCACAAAGTGTACTAAATATGATTTCAAGACTTTATTCATTAGACTTTGAAATATAGCTGGAGCATTGCAAAGTTCGAATGTCATTACCTCATATATAAAAGATGCTTTATGGTGAAATGAATGTGATTTTCAATTGATCATCAGGTGAAAACTTCATTATATGATATTTGTTGTCACCTTCTGCAAAACAATACAATTCATGGCTTTCAAACTCCTCTACCCTTCATCTCAAATGGATGGAAATATTGATATTTATCCGTAACGTTCTTGAGTAATATATAATTAACGCAAACTTTCACATTTTCATTTTTCTTAGGAGTCAAGTATTTGAAAATATTCATTCATCATTTCCCAATGGTAAGATAAATTGAGATTCAAAAAAATTCTCCAATTTTATTTTTACCACTTTGGCATATTTGAGATTCATGAGGTAAGATTTCTTACTTACCGCCTTTGCATTTTGTATGAGCTCACATTTCTGCATTTTCAAAAAAAAACTCCACATGAATCTTTGTAATTGCAATCAAAGAAATGAATAAACTTACATGAAAAGGTTGCAAAATAATCTTGTTCTTGAGCAAATAATTTTGTCCCCAATCAAATTTGATTCAATTGTCATGTTATATTTTCATCTGACAAAATTGGCTTCTCCCTTGTTTGTTTTGCAATAAATTGTCTTTATGATGAAAATACTTCCTTTGAAACTGCTTCATCATCCAATGAATTTTCCATGCAAATTACTTTGAATTTCAAATTGTGAAACTCTAACGAGTTTGAGCTGGATTTATTTCATAACAATGCTTCTACTAGATAGACATATGGAATTTTTGTCAATGTCATATGTTTTATTTCTCATGTATACTTTGCTTCAATAATTTTGCACATGCATTTTTGTAAATCATGGACAATTTAAGATCATTGGAAGCGAATCATCTTCTTCTAAAATCATATGAAAATTCACGTACTTGAAACACACATTGCATTTCATATCTTGAGGTTTACAAATTTTTTTATTGATCATTATTAAGTTAATAAACAAAGATATTTCAATTTCAAGAACTATGTATCTCATTGCCAAAAAAACCATCATATTGACATCCATGTTTCCATCTACTAATAAGACAACTCTCAAAATAGAGTCATCACATCCAACGTTTATGATAGGTTCGAAATTTGTTGAACCGCTATTGTATTGAATTATTTGGAAATTGATTAAATCTTGTAATCTGATAAACTCTTTCTCAATATTTTGCGAACTAATGGAACCATTGTCACAAACCATTTTCTAATTCAGATATCCGCTTTTTTCATCCCATGTCTTCTAAAACGAATACAATCCTTGATTTTTGGATATTGGAAAATCATGAAAATCAACTCGCCTCTGTCGATATTCTTTGAATACCTTGTTCCTTGACATCTCCTACATATGTTTCATGCTTCGCAATTGGGCTTCTTTTTGCTTTTGTTTTTTGGCCATTACATCAACCATAGTGCATAAAGATTATTCAAAATTAACAATTGTATTCTCTCAAGTTTCGTCTTGAATCTCAACCAGATTCATACAACCATTAGCTTTGTCATTCACAAAACTTGATGAAATATCTTCCTTTGCATCACGATTTGTACAATTCCTTGAGATGTGATCTACTTCCTTGCCAACTTAACATTTGCACCTTGTTCGAATCTCATTCTTTATTGCAAAAGTTTGAGGTTGAAGGAGATGAAGGTTATATTGTGTCGTTTGCAACAAAAGTTGTTTCATAACGGCCTTCATTTCTGAAGCCATGTTGGAAGTATGAAACGTACTTGTCAAAAATGAAGCTTGTAATGGAATATAATGAATATATGTCGTATCCTCCGGTGATATTATGGATGTCGACTTCAAACTAGCCTTCTTCTTTTCGGCAATGCGGATATCATCCTTCAAAGTATCCATACTATCATATTTCACTTGAAGTTTCTTGGGTACCAATTCGATCATGAAATGTTTTACCATCAATGTTTTACTCCCTTCAAAAATTTGTTTTGTGGCATTATGTACGTGGACACGTAAACTCCAAGTAATCCGAACGGAAAACCTTGTTCTCTATATGTGTAATACTTCAACTTCTCTATCGTCCCTTGTTTAACTTGACTCAGTTCACAGATAAGAACCTTGTAATAATATTTTTTACCAAACTCCGTGATCAATCCTACATTCATATGTTACCAAAAAAATTTGATAGTCTCTGGTTGTCTCTCATATCAGTCACAAACTCTTACTTTAAAAACTCTGGCAAAAATGTGATCCAATTTTCTATAATTCACTCCCCGTACTTATACATGCACATTTGTAGTTTGTGAAAGTGAATCTACATCGTGATCCTGCACCCCTTGAACTTTGGAAACGTCATTCCAAAATTTTCTCTGTTCCAAACTCACCGAGCCTGTGAAACAGATGGACTTCCGCAGGCTGCTACGACGCCCGTCGCTTGATCTTTTCGGAGAGATGAAGCTCCAACATCTTGCTATCCGTCGCCTCCTCTGCTTAATCTCGTCCTCCTCCTCAATCAATCACTCCGGGTATCCGTAGAGCCCCCGACCCTCTCCTTGGCTGTCGTTTTGCCCTCCGTCGCCTACGGCAAATGCATTCCAGAACACGGGAGACGATTACGACAGAGCAAACTAGAGAAGCAGAGCACAGCGGAACCTCAAGCGCCTCAAGCGCCCGGCTCTGTAACCCCAAAATAAAGCACGGAAAGATTTTGCTCATGATTTTCGTTCTCGTTAGTGAGGACGAACAAACAACGATTCGAGATTAGTTGGCGTAGTTGCGGCTCACGAGTCACAAGAAGTTCCCAACTCTTCTAATCGGAATGGCTTGAAATTTATACAATAACTAGAAAAACTAAGCACAAAGCAACCCTCAAAATTTCAGTCATATACCATTTTCTATCTAAAAGTTATGCTCCTTCTCAACCGGACTACTAAAATGACATTCTCAAGTAACAGCCATCAAGTGATCTTGATGGCTGTTTCTGTTACCAACTTGGATCCCGGTAACACAATCAAAATGTTAATACTTTTGGAATAAAGTCAAATGAAATAAAGAAAAAGAGAATCACAACATAAAGACTTCATAACAAAATGCAACTCTCACCCTTGTATACTCTCAAGGACGAGGCCTTGATACAAAGAAAGAATTATAACTCTAATCACTCAAATCTACTCTACGTCTATCATCACTATTCTCAGCACTAAAACAAGGTATCCGACTCTTCTCCAAGAGCCCTTTATATATTATGACATAGTAAGTTTCACAAGAAACATCCTAAATCTACTTACTCATGGATTTGACAGATAAATCCATAACAACATAGATATGACTAATATAGAAACTACTTACATCAACTTGATAAGGTGTAAGCTTTGTCATCGTTCTATCAACTTGCACATGCGCAAGTAATGGCCACTCAATAAATAGCTTACCCCAAAGCCTTAATAATTTATCTACTCTCTAATCCTAAATAAAACTCCACAATTTTAGTGATTTCACAATTTCAACTATAAGAAATACATGGTGTAAAAAAAATGTTAAAATTTTCAATGTATTAATAATTTTGGTTGATACCCTATGTATTCACATGATCTGTAGCTTTATGTGAATACGTAGTGTAGAAAACATATCTTACAATCTATATTATAAAAAAAATAGATAAATAATAATTTACATGCCACATTGTTGGGTAGTTAAGATTGAAGTGCCAGAAGCTATCATATGAATCTTTGGAATCCACAGAAAGCATATGTGGTGAAAACAACTGCTTGTTGAAAGTTCTAGTCTTGGGTTTGTGACTGAAAACATCTACATATTGGCTGGTCGTTTTGAGAGCTTATTATATTCTTGAGTAGTGATGAAAGTCTTGAAGGACGCTTTGACAGAGTACTCTGCGAAAATAACTATGATGTGAAATACTAATTAAGTTAATTTCACAATTCTCGTTAGTGCTTCGGAAGCGGAACAATTCACTATTGTACTGGATATGTGAATTACCTGTTGTACTGGATATCCAATGTTGTATAATTAGATGTTTTGATATGACAATAAATATGTTATAATCCTTTTATTTATTTATCTATTTAATTGTTTAACTGTTTATATATTTGCGACACTTCCTAATAGTTTTAAGATGTTGCACATTTTAGGCATCAACTATGCCTAAATCTATAATAACAATGTCATTCTTGCAACACAAACAACTCCAGGGGTTTTGACTCCAGAGCTCCAGTCTAAGTTTGTAACATCAAATGTCAAGATCAACTTATAAAACTGGGTCGGGAAATTCTGGTTTGAGTGTTGCAACATCTTTCTGAATTGCGTAGCTCAACTGGAGCTCAGAGACAGCTCGTGAAATGCCTCCACGCGTTTCTGCCAAAGTAATTGCTAGATGATATTTAAAAAACTTTACTTTTGCATGTATGATACACATAAATCTACTGTGGTCTTGTTATGAAATGTCAGCTAATTGTTTGATCTTCTTGCTCCTCAGCCCAAAACTCGGCTGAAAAACCCCCTGAGAGCAGCAACAACCATTCAAAGTACAACGTCATCAATGGAGCACAAATAACATTTCAAAAACCGAATGCATAATTCACCCAGTTTTTAATCGGTTAAGGTAAAAGCGTTCATAAATGACGAGCTTGAAAAATTATAGAGAACTTACCAAATGCCTTCTGGGACAGCATTTTTGTCTTTCCTGCAAGTGCAAAAAACAAACCACAAAGATGGTATCAATGCGAGACAACTAATTAAAACCTGCACACCCAAAATGGTCATCACCCAACTTCGCGTACTGCTGTGTCACTGGTATTGAACATTCTCCTCACTTCCTAACAACATGCTTATTCCCATTGGATATGAAGTGGTGAAGGCTCTCGAAATATGCTAAAACAACTATATGTGAATCCGAAATGTCCATTTCTTATCCATATATATTGTGGGGGGTTGAAAATTAAACGCATACTCAGACATGGCAGTTCCTCCCTAACATTAAATGTAGATTAAATCCAATTGTTAAATTGAGTGTAAGCAAGTTATGGCAAGTGCAAGAAAGTCCCTAGTCTGCTTTAGTAAGAAAGACATCATCTAAAGATTCTCCATCTAGTTCACATCTCAATTCTGGGAATCAGAATACTGACCTTTAAGATAGATTATCAGTGCATGACACTACTTCACTCAAAACACTGAAGAGAACAAAAACTTCCATCAAACTACTTCACGTACCGAGGACGACCATAGTAGGCATCGCCAATCTCAGAACGAGTAGGTTCTTCATTGAACGTATCCAGCAGGATATACTCCTCTTTACGATTGCTCAAATCAACCCTCTTATATATCTCATATGGATTCGGGTAAGCCATCCTGGACATATTTTAGCTAGTTATTCCACTTGTACTGAAGACGTAGCAGGTACGAAAAGAAACCGCAGCTTCATTTACTTCTTAGCCCCAAGATCAAATCTTCACTTACCGCAGAGCTCCAAGAATGGGATACTGAGTTCCAGACTGATATAACAGTCGGAAATGATAGCATGTAAAAAATGAATCTGCGAACTCCATCCTCTCTTCTCTTCCTCTTATCTGCACAGCCAAACAAGTTACATTCCAAAGATTCTTCTTGAGGTAAATACTTGATAGTCTTCGCCTATCATATCCTGAACATTTTTCCTTATAGACAAGGATTCAAATTTTGCAATAAGTTCTGTCTCCATGTTCAATAGGTTACCTGCATATTTCCTCCGGAGCCAGGTAAATCCTGCAGGCAAACAGAAACACAAGTTTAGAGGGATGTTGATTGACCAGTTTCAGTTTTTGTCTTTTGACCAATTTCACTTAACGCATCTGAGAAAACCTTTAATACTTTTCCACTCACGTACTGGAAGAAAACTTCATTGGAGAAGCTTTGTTGAGGTTGCAAGCCATATAGGTGAGTGTTGATCGGAACATGTAACACATCCTAGCGACCACTACTGAAAACAATGATTGTCTACAACTGGATCTTTCTCAGAGAAAACACTAGTAAGAAGAGGAAAGTGAGCATTCAGACCTTCAGTCTAGGATTCAGAATGATAACAGGACGATCACCCGCTGCTTCCACCATCGCTTTTAGGTCCTGGAAGACATGCAAAATGATGGAGATCTAATATGGAATCTCATAAAAAACAACTGGGTACAGGCAGAGAATTAAATAGAGTCCGCTGACCGATTGGAAATTCAAAAAGAGAACTATTGTATTATGCACATAAACGTTGTATAGATACAGATCAAAATCAACATTAAACTCAAACTAAAACATTCGTACATCGATGATGCAGTTTCCAACAGCATTCTGAGGGCACATGAGAATGAACATGTCATCTTCTGGTTTGACTTCTTTCGCACCTGTAGACATGTCACATGTCAAAGATACAACAAATGTAATGAGAACTCTTAAACTTCACAGAGCGAAGATACCCTAGTCATCTCAACCTCACCCTAGTCATCTCAACCTCACGTCATTACAAACATGATTGGTCCTGAGTGGGTTGATGGATGCATAGTGGAAAAAGGGCAAGAAAGCTGATCACATACCGACGGCACCAAAATTGACGAAAGTGCCCATGACTTCATCATCGCCCCAGTCCATCCGCTCCAACATTTGCCTCGTTCCGGCAAGCTGCAAAGGCATACCTGCAAATATGCCTTCTCCCATTGCCCCTTGCACACACACCTATCCAGATGAAATTTAGCTTAGATTAACTGGTTTGTGGGGAAGCTAAATGTGAAATGGATAAGAACAGCTGAACAATGATAATGTATGGTTGCCATGGGCATGACTTGACTCACTCGAACACGTTTTCCATCATTCACAAATGTAAAAGCAAGCTCTCTCATAAGCTCCAATAAAGTTCCGATCCTGTAGACATCCTGCAAAAATAAAATAATCGTTTGAGTCACTGAAACTCACATTTACATTTGAAACATAGCAAGTCAAGCAGCAATACGGTCAACAAGCTTAAATTTAATGGATACACTAGTTCAAGCACTGCCAAAGAACTGATCAACATTCTGTTCTGCTGGATTTTGCTCACAGGGTCTAATTCCAGACACTACTTTCGACATGTCGGTTTTCCAAAACAATTCCCGGATACTACTCTTGACGCTAACGTGACAGCAGAAGCAAACGTTATCTGAGAGTCTCCAAAATCCCTACATCTGTAATCTCTATAGACTAAAGAAGAGATATCAATTTTGTAGGAAACTTACCATCTCAGGATTAAGTTCTGGGATGACTATCTTCACCTGTACAAATTCATATTGCACGGTCAGTTTGATTCTTACAAAGAATCGGAATGAGTATAGGAAGAAAAGGAGTACATGGCCTTGATCTTTGTGACAGAGACAATCTTAGAATCAAGAACTAAAATCTATACCTTCAACTTCGTTATTTTGTTCTCTACAGCCCTTTTTGTAGCATTGCACACGTCCTTGTAGAAGTATTCACGAATCTCACGTGTATGTGGAGTTGTATTCAACTTAGTGGGTATACCTTTCCAATTATCCTGCAATACAACACATACTCGAATTGAGAGCAAGGACGTTTTGAAAGCCAATTGTATGTAGTCCAATTCTTTCAGCTTCAAGATTTACAGTCCTACGCGGCCTACGACTAGAAAGGAAAACATCGTGGAGGTTTCGTGCGTGGATTTTCCTGAGGACCTGTCCCCAGTCTTTAGAAACAGGATGGACCACATAGAACGAAAAAAGGCAGAACAAAAGCCATCACCAATATCAAGTACTATTACATTCTGTGAACTAACCTGTTTAGATGTCGTCGGTAGACTGGGTGAGTTCCTCCGAGTGCTCTGTTTGCAAAAAAAGAGTTACAAAACAATTATATCAGTCGTCCTGACTAGAGCTTCTTGTGTAACGCGCAACTGTTTGTGATGAGTTCTCGTTCCTCAAGTGATGAAAGATTGAATATTGTTCAGTACAATCGAGGAAAGTACTTTCCAACCTTCATTAAAAACCGAACGATGATCAAGTAGGCAGGCTAAAGAATAGAGGACGAGGGCTGAGGTGTTATTCATCTTCAGTGAAACATGGAATTAATCAGCCAAGAAGTGTCATATACCCAACCTCATGTTTCATGAATTGAAATTTCGTTTTCATTCATTAAATTTAGCCGGGAAATGTCGGCATGATTCAGACGAGACTGCAAATACTCAGCATAATTTTAAGCTACATTCATGAAGGAAGATAAGGATGAGTTTCCACGCCTGATACTCTTGCTAAGATTTGCTTTAGAAGGCATCAGAGTTCTTTTAAAGATCGACCAGAGACCACATCAAAGACATTTATAAAGTGAAATCTTTCCCTCAAAACATTATAAAGATATATTCAATGCAAATGCAAATGAAGACACTTGAAGGTCATTATATCTGCGCATTCCAAACACAGTTGAAGTAGACTCCACTACTGTATCGAACGGACGCTATAGATCGTGAGTGCTCTGATAAGAATGACAAGGGAGTACAGTGAGACGATGGTGAACTCCTACGTAAGAAAATACAGACATCGCAGTTTTTTTCGATGATGTGTCTATACACACCTAGCATGGTTGGTCTTGACTCCTGTCTGGAAGCACTTAACAAGCTGACATTGAAATTGACAATCCTCAGGTGCAGCTATACTGGACTCTGAAGTGGAAGAAATCGTGTCACATTGTCTCACAACATGGAAGTGAGTCAAAACGTCATGTTTTTCAGCACTAGATCTCGATGCTCAGTTGTTCCTTCCCAACATACTCCAGCATTAAACACGGTACATCATGACCTTCGTCACACGTTGCACAATGAGAACAGCATGTACTTCTTGACCAGCACATGACAATCATCCAGACCATCCCCCATCGCTAAAAGAATGTCTCTGTAAATAATTGCAAAATGGACAAGGAGCAGGCCTCATTCATTCTTTCATCCACTCTCGATCGTAACCGTGTTCATTCTCGAACAATCCCAACATCACAGTCGCGATGACCAGGAGTACCAGCACTCGCAGGAAATAGAAAGAGTTAATACTAATAGACTTCAATTACAAGAATGCGTTTAGACTGTATAATGAACATGGACATGAACTTCAGAAGTAGAAACTTTACATAAAGTGCGTAGAGATAGTTGTGAAACTTCTCACTTACAGACTCAAACCAGAGGTCTCATAAGTGGCGCATATGTTTATTCAACTTTTCTAGAATACAGAACCGCCAGCTATAAGGTTAACTAGCACACCATCATCCTGCATCTCCCTCAGTTTTAATCTTTCTATTGGGTCCAGTCAAGGCACTTACTACTGATTCCCACTTGAGGAGGGAGTTTATGGGAACAGATTCCGCTTCCATGTTTTTTAAAGCAAGACAAGGAAAAAAATCTCTACAATCACATTCAATCATGTGAGGAAATATAATGGCTGGATCAAATACCCTAGGACCTAACATGAACCCAAGCTATAGGCTAGTGTACCAACTCAAAAGTCCTGCCTCGGCTGATACTTCTTGTCTATATGGGAGTTATCCTAGGGTCTTACGACTCAGAAGACGACGACAACAGTAGCTTGAGCCTGTACAATAAACTCTCTGAAACATAAAGTAACTGACTACAGCTCAGCTTTCAACCACCAGCGACAACTGGAGCACCGACCTCCTCAGACTCCTTTTTTTGCAGATCCATCAGGAGCTTATCAATCTCCGCAAATACTTCCAACTTAGGGCGGTTTCCATCCACCTGAAATATAGATTACGTTAGAGTAGTATTTCCAATGGAGACTAACAATGCATATGAAGTATGAAAAGGAAAACTAACATTTTCAGCCTTCATCTACTGATGCTGGCAACGAATCATAGAAATTACCAAATTTAAACAAAACGACTGGAAAGCTTTGAATCTATGCCTCCTTTATTTGAAAAGAACATTTCAGGTTCTTTGAAAACTAGAGTCAAGAAGCATACATGTTGCATCACATCCTTGTAAACCCCAACCACGGCGTCTACATTGCTGTAATGTGTCAACAGTCGTACTCGCGCCTGGAGATTAGCAGAAGCTACGTCAGAAAGGAAGCAACAGACGGCCAGCCATGGTGACCATCAATACAAACATCTTCTGGCAGAATAGGTATTTTGAACTTCCGAGAGATACTGTCAAAGATTAGGCCGTATTCTCAGACGACATCAATGATCCCCTGGACAACATGCTCGAATTTTTTCGGTAGAGTACCTTTTCTTCAGTGTCGTCAAAGCGCTGGGTGAGTCGACTTGCAATCTCCTCATTCTCCGGGGGTGAATACAGGAGGTGATATATTTTGCCAGTTACAGGGTCCATCCTTCTGTTGATTACCCTCTGAATCAAGATTTCATCATCGACCTGCGTCCATTCATAAGGGTATTGGTGAACATTATTACTTCCTAGAGTCAATTTGATTGCTTTACCTTGACCAAAGAATGATGATCGGATGGCTATATCAACCAAGCTAAGATTTTGTAAGCTATCTCTTAAGACGAGTCGTACTGTGTGAATGAGCATCCCAGTGAAGATTCCCATGCTCAATTCAAGACGTATGCGAACTCGCCCGCCTATTGCTGAACATTGATCACCCAAAGAAGAACCACATGAAGAAAGGGTGAAGGTTTGTGATGGGACATAAAACAAAAATCATACATCAAGAAGAATGAAAAGGTTGGGTCGAATGCCGGCAACTTCCAAAGCTTGCGCTTGCTCGTCGCTTCTAGGATAACCATCTAGCAGCCAGCCGTTTTCTTGAGCATCTTGTTGTGCAAGCCTGTCTTTGACCATCTGCAAGTTTCATAAATGTACTCGTCACTTTCGAAAACTACAGAATGTAGAATAAAATTTGATGAGAATCTAACTTGCCGGCAATACACAGGTCGACTACGGATCGGTGATGCGACTCGCAACTATGTGGGATTCCTCATGTGCGAGTGAACTATCGAGCTTGCAACTGCGAGGCGACGTATGTCCAAAATAGAATTTTGAAGAGTACAATACCTTCACAACTATCTCACTGGGTACGAGCAATCCTTTGGTCATGTATTCTTTGGCCAGGTTCCCATTCTCGGATCCAGCAGCAACCTCGGCTCGCAACAAATCGCCCGCTGATATGTGTGTTAGACCGTACTGCAAAAATTGGCATATTCGAATGAGACCGAAGCACTGAAACAAAGAATGAAGAGATGGGAAGCTCGACAAGGAGTGAGGACACCAGTCGATGCGCTGTGGAAAATTCATCAAACACGAAATCGAAGGATATTTCAAAAGGGACACCATGAGATAAGATCCCTGGACAGAAAGCATAGCCCAACGATGTGAAACTCTAGGGCAATGCCTTTGACCATGAACCTGTGATGTTCATATCAGACAAATTGATTTGAATCTAGTTAGTCTCCTCACACTCTTATATAGAATTGAAGACTTGCATGCCGACTGTGTGTGAGTTTATTTTGAGTTCATTCACCAGAATCAACCAGATTTTTAAGCCAACTGATTTTACGCATAACCCTTGTGGCCGACAGATTCGCAACATATATGACAATGTTAGGCATCTCAAGTGAAGAGAGGGATATGCATTTAGCTCTACCTAGTCTAATGAGCTACTTTGCTCAAACCAGCAGGCCTAAATACATTTGCAATTATTCGTGCAAATGTATGTGAAGCAGCTTGGTGCTTACTATATGTAATGAGGGATCTTTTCATGGAACCTTCAGCCCTTCCAAGATGAAACATCAGGAGAAGAAAAATTAGGAAATCTTCCTGAAGTTGGGCTATACTGGGTTATGTTTCCAAAAAAATCTTCGCTCTTTCTAATCGAGCAAATACTGTAATACCACAAACTATCTCCGCCGCGTCTCAACGAGAAGGTGCATGCGCAGTAGCAACAGAAGAACTTCAAGATATAGTCGACATAAGCGCTGCTATGTCAAGAGAAATGGTAACTCAATGGCTAAGAAACCTCAATAGTGTGCCAAGAGCCGTTCAAATCATACTCTTCCAATTTGTTCCTGAATGGATTCTATACTCTTCATTCTTCACAAACAAATTACTCGATTGATACTCTCGCAAGTGGAAACTGACCCTTTCATTCAATGTGACCCTTTCGATTCAAGTTTTTCGCTAAACAATTATATGAATGTCCAGAAAGCCGACCTTCTCGACAATCAGCTCGCACTGCGTGCCCTTTCCTGAGGCGGGTGCACCAGCTATCATGATGCGCAGAGGTTCATCTTTGGCTTTTGCCTCAGCCCTGCCCTGTTCACACAAATACGTCACATAATACATAAAATTCACGTTACTCTGAGAGAATTTGTTCACGGTACAGATTCCCACAAGCTGAGAATCTTCGTGTCTCCCCTACTTCAATGGCGACCTCGGCGCAATCCTCAATTCAAATAATTTAGAGAAAGTGAAGGTAGGGAATATCGGTTCCAAACACACAGGATGAACGATTCTCACCGCAACGCGGACATCTTTCAAGTAGCCACATTTGGAGCTGCGCGAAAGCCGTCGTGGGCTTCCTACGAACGACGATTCACTTCTCTGGCCGAGGAATTGCGAGCGGACCGAAACCAGGGGCGTTGCATTGTCGCAACGATCATAGCTCGGGCCGAATTGCGCCACAGAGACGACGCAACTGCGAGAGCGTTCGGAGCATGAGGAAGATGAAACCGCGCACACAGCGGGCGGGCAAGGCCTCGTGCAAGCGGAGGCCGCCATCGCCACAGCCAGTCCTAGCACCGGGCGATGGACGAGAACGAGGCCGAGGCCGAGGGCGGGGTCGGAGTCCGAACAAGTAGGCAGCAAAGAACGAACGCTGAATCCGGGAAGGAACGAATTGGCCTTCGTTCACGTGAAGGCCCGGCGCTGCTGCTCGGCGAACCAAATCTTCCTCGTCGTCGTCCTCTACAGCTTCTTCACGTGGACAGGAAAAGGACGGACGGATGAACGTCGTTGCTGATGACGACGATGACGATCCAGCAGCAGCAGAAGAAGAAGAAGCAGGAGGAGGAGCAGGCGGAGAAGAAGGAGGACGAGGACATGGCCAGAAGATAATCCTGCTCCCAGAGCGACCACAAGACTTAGGACGGGAATCTGATCGCCCTCCAACCACGACGCAGAATCGCCAAGACGACGCTCCATGGCCCTCTTCGTCGCGCACTTTTGACCAGCCGCTACTTACCAACCTCGCCCTCCAACTTACCAATTTACGGCATGGGTTACCGAACTCCATCTCCACTTACCCAGTTCCCACCTTTGCTACAGCCTTCCATCGCTCGTTCCCTCCGCAGTTTATCACCAAATCTCTGCATTTGCTTCTATTCTTGAACTGAAACAGGGCGACAGAGGACGCAAAAGTCCAAAAAAAAAGGCAGGGGAAATTAATGCACCTTGCAGTGGATAAACCCTTCTCTTTCCACCAGAACGAACGAAAGGGACTATCTTTGCCCTGTGATGTCGTCGGCCCATGTATTCTAATTCATGGACCGACATTCTGGGCGAATATTAGCTGAACGGTAGACGCCGGAAAACCTCCTGCCGTACTGTTTGAACGCGGCGTGCAATTAGCCAGTTCCCCGCACCTTCAACATGTTCCTCCGCTTCCGAGTTGTAATGGGAGCCAACAGGAAGCCTGATTCAGCACGTCAAAGGAACCGAGGAAAAAGTGCGGAGGAGAAGAATGAGAAAAGGTATCATGATTAAACCGGAGCCTACCAATAGACAAGCAAGTATCAAGACCCACGGTCATGAGAGAAAGGTCTGAGTATGCCAAGGTGAGTGAGCATTTTACCGATGCACTCCCTCATGCAGCCAGTATAATATGCCTAGCTAAATGTCATGCTTTTCATTCACGAGATTGTCTAAATGAGCATGTTGTTACAATCCCAAGAAAATGCATTGAAATTTTATGAAGTTGATTTTCAAGTATTCCAGAAATATTAATGATTTAATTATTAACTAAATCTGAAGAAAAGGAAAAATTTTTAAAAATTACGTAATCAAATTTATTTAGATTTATATTTATATTTAGATCCATTAAATAAATGTCTACTTTGCATAGGTACATTGCTTAATCAACTACATAAACTAAATATATTGCCAAGATGTCGGCATCGAAGGAGTTTGTTTTGATAGGATATACTTAACAGTAATATAAAATTTAGAATATTCTGTTGCAAATCTTCATGGTGATAGTCATATTGCACTGCGTCTGTCTTGGATAATATTAAATGATTAATAATATGATCATGCAGATTTACCTCACATGTCATTTCAGTAAAGATTTATTTTTAATTGAGAATGTTAATCTAGTAAAGACGAGTCTTAAATCTGCTGCAACTAATACAATTGATCATCAAGTTTTTTTCTTTTTTACTATAAACAATGCTATTATGCGGAATATTCATATAAATTAAATATAAAGTGGACTATATATATATATATCATTATTATGTTATTATATTTTATCATGTTTTGTCCTCAAATTTAAAATTAGGTAATTCACAAAGTGATCTATCATAATATTTCTTCTGGATTTTGTGCAAATCAATCATATTGATAATAACTGTTACAAAAACATGATTCAAGAAATTATGAATTGATCCAAGTTTTTATTAACTCTACATTTTATTACTCAAGTTACATTGACTGCTGTTAGTTATAAATGGTAATAGACCAAGCCTGGGGACCCAAAGAATGAAAAGGCTGAAAAACACAATACAAGCGAAAACCATAAACAAGAGAGAAGAACCCAAAGGTCGATACCTAGCCTACACGATATAGAAAAAAAAATTATAACTTTTTGTGACACAGTTAAGGTTTTTTTAAAATATAACATTGTGTTCCATGGAAAATTGTACATTGAAAAAAAAAAACTTGATTCTATAAACACAAGAATTCATGCTTATCATTGTGTATTATAACACATGTTGATTAATCTAAAAAATTTGACAAATTTAACTTTTGATATGATATGATATGATTATCATTAGAATGATTTTCAATTACATCAAATATTTTTGAATGAAATTTTTATCTCATAGAATTACAAGAAAACATCACACATGATGATTATTGTTAATTACAAATTTTACAAATTTTTTTTTTAACAATGGCTTTGTCTAACTAAATTCAACATATGCAACTAGTTTATAAATTTGTTATCATCCAATATGAATATTATTTTATATAATATTTTTTTATCCTTAAATATGTTCAAAATAATTTATTGATAGTACAATAATTTCAAGAATATGCATTTCTTTGTTTTCAAAAAAAATTATACCTAAAAAATCATTTATCAAATAAATATCAAATATTATAGCTTTATTTGATATCATTCTATAAATATCTATAATCATAACAACATTTAAAAGAACATTTTCATAATCAAATATGATAATTTTTTTAACTCATTGATTTTATACTATATTTTGAAGTATCAGACTGATTTATCTTTCTAATAGCATATGACATTTTATTGAAAACATACGAAAAATTTATCTTTTTCACTTTAAACGTACAACTTATAATTAAAATATTTTTTAATTATAAAAATTTCATACTTATCATAATTTATGAAAAATATTGCTAAAATGAAAAAATTTCAAGGTAAATCATGCAAGTTCAATTCAATCAATGATGAATAAATGCTTGCAATATAATTTTTGCACCTATTTCAAATATAATTTATAAAACTAAACTTGTAATTTGTGATTTGATAATCATATAATCAAAAAATCTGTATATCCATTCAAAAAGTATTTTTTTGCGTGATATCCTTTGTAGTGTTTCTTTAAATTTTTAGTCACAAATATGAACAAAACGATTATGGAATATGTCAAAGATGGTTCATATAAAAAAGTAAACATCTTTGAACATGATAAATGAATGAAGATATTAAGTTCATAGAAATAAAACTTACTCTTATATATATATATAATATTAAACTACAGAAATTAGATTTTTTTTAACTGCATAAACTCAGAGTGTGAATATTTTAACTTTAAGTATTATGCTTAGAAAACTGAAGTCCAAGGTAAATCCTTGACCATTATTTGTAGTTCAACGGAATTCAATTCGTCTATCAATAAAAAATGCGTATTTTCATTTAAAGCATGATCTAATAATTTTTGATTTTTAACTTTCACTTTCACATCTTCATTTTCAAGCTTATCAAATGAGCTTGATATTCAAATAATCATAGTAAAATATAATATAATTAGCATAAACACAAGTAAACAAATCTCAAACATGAACACAATAACCTTGAAAATAATTATATTTATTTATTCCTAAAAAAAATTTACAAAAATTTTATCATACCAAACATATATCATGTTGAAAAAATATCCAAAAAAATTTGAATGAAAATGAACGAAGCTTTTTTTTCATGTATAGTGTGAGACACTATTTGATTAAAATAAATTTCAACTTGCTTAATTCTAATATCTGTATGTATTGTAATAAACTTTTCTATTTTTTATATGCTATCATTTCACAAATGCATGATGCTATCTTTCAAAATTGATTTTCAAATACATAGTAAACAACAATGAATGATAGAGATGTAAATAAGTACATGTATTGATATGAATCTCAGTGAGAGTTTTAATGATATGTTATATTAGATTTTTTTCATGGACATGCAATCATAAATTTCTGACATACCTTATATTTTAATGGACATTCATATATAATTATGTATAATGATAAAATTTGAAGAAGTATGAATCACAAAATTTTGTTGTTAATGAACCCAACATCTATGGATCCAGAAACGGCTATTGTTATATATTGTCAATTATTGGTAATCTTTTTTATCTGTTTTTTTCTAGCATTTTGACGAAATTGGTACTAGTCCATTGCCTGTAAAAAATGCAAACCTTAACCTTTCTCCGACCTTATATAATTGGGGTTTAATCTCAATTTAAACCCCAATTTGAAGAAGATGTTAATTGTTGTTAACTCCCCTTTCCATAAGGGAGATACGGCAATACTAAGACAGCTAGTAGGAGGAGATAGAATTTCGGGTAAACTAAAACATGCAAATGTAAGACATGAATTCAGCTTTTCACGTTGGGTACTCCTCGTAAGTAATGAATAACTCGGTATGTCAGAGATTTCAGGAGGTCTAGCGAGGAGAATGATAGTCTTTCCAGCTCATAATGCTGTCCATCTTAAGAAATTCCTTATCAAAGAGGGGCATGGTCTATTCATGGGACCACTGGCCGAGGTGATATGTGAGATAGCGAAGTGGGCTCTTTCTATGCCTGACTAGGATGCTACGGAAGTAATGAGAAACCCTGATATACATTGTCTTAGTCTATCAGGAAAAAAAAAAGTTATGTCGTGAGAACCTAAATCACATAAGCGCTTGTTTGATGAAGACCCCTCCTGCATTCTCCAGCAGCAAACCCTCCCAAGAATTTTACCACGCGCACGATCCGATTAGTTGATGTACTTCATCGACATATATCCAAATCCTTTCGCTGTATTTTAAGAAAACAGCCGCAAAAGGAGTAACTTGAGGCGCATGTCCGCGCCAAAGAAAGTAGTTATGAAGGCACAAGATAATTGTAGGTTTGTCCGCTTTGAAATAAGCGACGAGGACCCGAGGCGCTAAGCGCTTGTTTATCCATCCTTAATTCCGGAAAGAGGGGGCGCGGTTATGAATATAACTTAAAAATGAGGGACTTACGAACTCCCAAAGACAAACTGCCCATGACCTACCTCTTTTTATTCGTTCTATGGACTCCGTCAATGCAGGGTTAAGTTGACGTTCTAGAACGAAAAAGTAAAATAAATATTTATATTTTTTTCAACCCTGTATTGATGGGTCAATCCTGCCCTGAACGACGTCAATCAAGAAGAACACAAAGTTTCCATGATCCGCGAAAAGGAAAAAGCACGAAATTTACGGCAAGACGACTATCGATTCTTAAACAACCTATATTTTATACATTTAACAATCATTTGATAGATTATCCAACTCGGACCCCATATATATATATATATATATAGACATTACACTTGAGGCTTGATTTGGAAATCTGTACTAAAAATTACACACTTACATTTAATTTTTTTTTCATATTGTATATTAAATTATAAAACATCACATCAGACATCTAATTTCATACAAACATTAATTATATGTCTACAGCAACAAATTTTTTTTATCAACTAAATACAATAAATTTGAAAAACGTTTTGACTTTGTAAAATTCTTCATTAAAATTTATGTTATTGATAGTATAATATTTAATGTTTCTATATGATTCTCATGCAAGATATATCTCAGTACCAATTTGTAACCAAAAAAAAGAACAAATCATTTGCATTTTTTATGAGTTAAAAATAATAATTTGATGTTTGACATAATTCTATTTCAAAAAATGTATGGTTAAAAATTTCCATAAATTCTACATAAATCAAAATAATTTTTTGTAATATTTCTATATATTTATTAAATTGTTCATTTTTAAAATAAAATTTTTAGATTGACAATATTTTAAAGTGAATTTTCTAAAACTTAAATTAAATAAAGTGTTTGGCATTTATGAAAATACATTAATTATCAAAGAATTCAATATAATTATAAATGAAAAATATGAAGAATATAAATGATAAAAGATTTACATATAAAAAATCTTAAATTTCAATTTTTATCCAACCATCTAACTAAATACAAAAATCACATTGATGCAATAAAAAATTATAAGATCTTTGATCTCTATTGATACAATTCATTAAAAAGACTTACGTTGCTTTGATATAATATGATACATAATGAAGCCAAATATATATAAGTAATTTTTCGCAACATCAAGATACACACTGCATGAATCAATAAACATGAATAGCTGAAAAATTCATATTTGAATTTTTCAAACATACATAGCAATACACCACTTTCCTACACTTTATTTACTTTTGGATGTTACGTTTTGCTTAATAATACATGAGCAAAATGAGATCTCCAAACTCGATTGCCTATCTCTTGAGAGATTTGCTTGATGGGATCCATGCGGAAAGTAATTTGCTTGATGGTACCTTTCAGGTTTCGTTTTACCCAATGGGACCTAATGAACGATGCACCGTCACCCATGTTCTAATAACGACTTGAGTTTTAGAGAGAGTGCAACGAGTCAACCACACTCGCAGATAGAGTGAACTTCGCAATCCATCACACTCACTTGTTTATATTTTGTCATTCTGTACCGGCAACTCACCTTAGGTGATGAGCAAAGAAATGCTCATCCGGAGTTTATTTGTTCGCCACAAATGGATGACCGCGAGACTTGAGCTCGGACCATTTTCCGGTACGAGCTCCTCGTCGCATACGCAGGGTTACGGAAGGAGGGTGCAGGCGGAGGCAGCTGAGAAATCCGCGAATCGGTGCGATCGAGAGAATTTAAACACAACAAATTGCACTTCGGGCAAAATCGATCTTTTTCCCCGTGATAATCCACCAGAAATTATAATCAAGGATTGATCTCTGATGGTAATCCCGCATTGTAACTATCAATCATAGTTATAAGAACTATGGCCGACGGCACACAGTAGTTGGAGGTCCCATCGGGTAAAACTAAACCTGAGGTGTCCCATCAAGCAAATAACTTTCCACAGAGATCCCATCAAGCAAATCTTTCACTTTCATCTTTCGTATCATCAAGCAAATAACATTCTGTATCTTTTTCGTAACGTTGTATCGAAATCTGAAAATGTTGTTCTTAAAGAAAGAAAATGCTTCTTCCCCATGACATAAGGTATTACACAAAAGTTGCTCATTTCGTACATTTTTATGAGTGATTGTTCACATGTGAATTTGTTCCATTGATACCGAAAATGATAGAATATTTTACAAACTTATGAACACAGAATTAACCATCACTTTGATGATACAAGTTTAAGTCAATATCATAATACCTTATAACCGTGTTTGTATGATGATTGTAGCTTTGGTTTGACATCTGAGTCTGAATTCGTTCTAAGAAATCAAATCATAGATCCCTACTTAAACGCGTGGAGAAGCGTTGATGTGTTGGACAGCCAGTATGCTAAGATATCATTGTTCTCTTGACTCTTAATACCAGTTCCGTTAATTTGAATAATGGGATCAAGTACATTCGTACTCTCAGTTTCAAGTGACCGTCACTGAAAAAGAAATTTGTAAATGATACTTGCTGCAACTGGTCTATCATGGCTGAATCCGACATCTTGCATGACACACTGCAAAAGTACATCTTGATTTTTATGTTGTTTATCAAGAAGAAGCTTTTAACATCTTTGTTCAGTCTTCAAATGCTCTCTCTCAATTTTGAATTGTACGAGTGACAAGCGAATCTGCTGTGGCCATACTTTTTGTCATCACAAGAATGATAGCTAAAGGCTCCACAGTTTTTCCGGAAAATTCTGCTGCTGCGGCTTCCTTGTTGGTCGACACCAACGCTGTTCGTTATTTTTGAAGGGCTTTCTCTACAGCAGAAGTTTTCTTCTTCGCGGATTTCATCGGCTTTGTGATGCTTCAATCTTTTCCCCGATTTGGACATTCAGCAGGTATGCAAGAAGTTGGTTTCAAGAAGAAATGCACTTACAGGACAGTAACATGAAATTGTAAAGGATATAATGCGAAATGTCAAAATGCTGAATTCAAAGACGATCGATCCTCCGTTTCTCACCGTCTCGATTCTTATACCAGTGACAACTCTCATACTTGCCATTATTGTACTTGGATACCTTGAAGAGCCGGAATCTCTTGGGGTCTGCAAGAATCCATCATTTTTCATTCATTCTGAGCGAGTACTGAATAATGAATCTGGAGGTAGGAACGATCAGATTTTGAACTCAGGTCAGATGGAAAAAGAGAACGTACCGTTCCAATCATTGCTCGTGCTAGATGACGGGCCGACATCTGTCTTTATATATGTTTGCATTCAACTACTCGTGCTTAAATTCTTGGCAAGCCCAAAAGGATGGAGAAACCGACCAAGCGGTACAAGGATGAAAGGAAACGGCTAAGCACTCGCTAGCCCCAAGTAGTATCACCATTTGCGCTTGAATTACATTCTACAACAGTTTAACCCAACTTGTCGGTGAATACACGCATTGTCGTCACTTCGCATATGCTTGATGACATGATAATGTCTGATCGATGCACGTGTACGGCAAGCACTCCAGTTCTATACTGGTCAACTGGCTACCCAAGACTTGCACAACACAAAGCGGCGTGGATCGAGGGCAAGTATGTATGGTCAAACATGCTTCATCACATATAAAAGAGCTCCAGAAGCAACAAAGACATCACTTGAGCCATTCTGATCTTTAACCAGTGTGAAAGAGGGAAGAAAGCTGTTACAGGATTGCACATTTCTGTCGTTCAATTATTTGAAGCGCTTTTTTCGCTGAGCGTATTCCGGACATAGCAACGAAGTCAAAAGAGCTGAAGTGATGGAGAGGGTGAATATGAGATTGGTGCTGTTGCTTTGCACTACTTCATTCATCTCTGTGGCCCAAGCCTCGAAAATTTGGGATGACTTCTACGTCAATTTTGGTGACTGGAATGTCAACTACAGCAACGATAATGCTGACAGTGGGAACATCGTGGTGAACCTTGGTCTTGACAACACTAGTGGTAATCTCCACCCTTACAATTGCTTAGCTCCTGGAAACTGGAAGCAACTCCAGAACTTGGATACAAAATCTATTCATGTTGTTACATCCTTTCTCTTGAAAATCTGGACCTAATACGCTGCCATCATGGTGCTTGACAGGATCTGGGTTTAGATCCAGATACCCGTTTCTTTACGGTCATATTGGCATGAAACTGAAACTAGTCGGTGGAAATTCGGCTGCTACGGTCACTTCATTCTCCATAAGTACATACGTCCAGATTGAAATCGGCCGTTCTGACAAGGCAGTACTCATCATCATTGGCAATGAAATGTGAAATAGAAATGTGTTTGTGTCTATAGCAAGATACAATATGTTCATGTATTGTTTTGAAGTTTTGTGAATTTTTGATCCTCTTCTCCACTCGGAGCATAACACATCTCATCACCACATTGTCCGGCGCGGGCTTGCAGCTTGAATCGATGTTTAAGAATTGGTGTGAGTTGGACTTCTGAGTTTCTTGGAAACGTCAGTGGAGAACCATACACCCTTCAGACGAATGTTGTCGCTGAGGGCAAAGGTGACCGAGAGCAGCGCATCTACCGTTCGATCCCACCGAAGACTACCACTACTACGGCATTTTGTGGAACCAGAATCTGAACTTGTAAATTTTCCGGGACGCTCTCTCTACTTCTCAGCAGAAGTCCATTGCGATTGCTAACGTTTCAACTGCGCTCAATGGGAGACCAGAGGCAGATTTCCTGGACAAAGAATTCGATCCTGTCTTTCTATCTGAATGATTGTTGCATCTTACATGCCAAATGTTGAATTCCATGCCCGACTTTCATCTGCATCAAGTCACTCAAATCTTCGACGTGCTCGCGTTGCAGATTTATGGTCGATGACGTGGTCATCCGAGTCTTTCACAACAGCAAGGATCTGGGAATCCCATACCTGGATTACCAGCCCGTGTACGTCTTCTCCAGCATCTACGAAGGAGGACTATGGGCAACTCGCTGGGGTGCAGACAAGATCGACTGGTCTGCAGCCATTCATCGCCTCGTACAAGGACTTAGACGTAGATTCGTGCGCAATTCACAGCGAAGGCAACGACAAGGATGACTCGCACAGATGTTACAACAAGTTGTACTGCAGCTGGTATGGAGGTGCCGATGCCGGAAAGCTGACGAACGAACAGATCGACGACTTGAAGCGCATCCAGTCCAATTACGTCATACACGACTACTGCACGGATGCTCACCGCTTCCACGAGACACCTAAGGAGTGCGCTAGGAACTCGCCTCAGAGCTACCCAGCGTGAGCACACAACTCCAGGATAAATTTCAGGATGCATAAGTCGTGTGGTTCAAATGATTGAAGATTGAACTTTCACAGAAAGGTCCGTGTTCATCTTTGCAGGATTGGTGAGATTGGGGTGTCGGAGGAAGTCTTGACGCCGCTGGACGATTTCTCCATCTTCAAACGATGGTCAGTATTATCTTCGAGTAGAACTTGAGCTCCTCGTTCTCGCTTTTGGCCGACATTGTTTATCTAAGAGTCAATAAAGACGGAGAGATCCACTTAGTGTGAGATGCAACAAAAGCTAAGACAAACTGTAGTGCAATCAGAGTCTTCATAGCTTTGATCCTTCATAGCCTCCTTCTTCTTTTTAGTCGAGCCAACGCAATATTTTACCTCGGCAATCTCCACACTCACATAAAATTAAGTGAAAGTAGGCGCATGATTTTCGCCTACCCTGGCTCAATGGTAAGCTATTTTTCTACGCTTACGCTTCTAACAATTCTTTTGGATATGTCAATTCATGCATAGGTTACGGAAAAAACTGTCCAATCGGTCGTATGCTGTCGTGCATCCAATGCAATTTTGATGGCAGCATAGTTTACGGACTTGAAGTTCAAGAACCTCGCGGGCGACGGGTTCGAAGTTTTGAAGAAATATTTTTGACACCTTTGACAAGGCCTACGATAGTCTAAAAATGAGTAAATGATTGAAATAAAAATTTCTTCACTCCAAATGTTCAAGTAAAAACTCCAAATGTTGGTTATTATGAATCATGAGATATAACTGTTGATGGATAACAAAAATTGGTATAGGTGTACAAATTCAACGATAAGCCACACATGACTAAAGAACAATCTTCAAAACCTAAATGACTAAAGTCCTCGTACAAAAGAAAATTGTGGATTATATAAATTTTTCTCACATAAATCATGTTAGAATTCAACTAGTATGTGTATTTGTTGTAATATTTAATCTGTTGGCAAATGGATATGATTATTATATTTTTCTAAATATTTCTAGAGTAAAAAAATCTATTTCAAACAACTAATTAATTTTTGATAAAAATATGAATTTTTTTAAAACAAATTACAAAATTATTATATGGATTGAAAAAAACTCTTTGGTAGAGGGAATGTGAGATTTGATGATTCCATTAAAACACACAAGTTTTTATGTATATGATTAATGTGCATACATGAAAAAGTTGAAAAATGAGATTTTCAATTTCATTATTTTAATCTTTTAAGTGTGTGACATGCTCATTTTGACAAAAACTCAATACTCACATCGACAAGTTGAAGTTTTCATTTAAGATGAAATATATGGTTAAATCAAAGATTATATCAGGATTACATATTCATAAAAATTTGGATAAAAAAATACTATGGTTGAATTGAGGCAAACAACTTCAACATGTTATTTACAAGTTTAAAATGATAGACTCTAAAGAAGTATGCATTGCTTTAACACTTGAAATTTTTCGCAATTTAATGTCAACTTGATGTCATTAATAGTTAAAAAAATGTCATCAATGTTTTATGAGATAGTTCTAGGTAATCTCATATATTTCATAGTATGCAGAAAGCTTAATATTGCTTTAGCTATGGGCAAGATAAACAAGTATATGTACAATCTAGAAAAGTTGCATCGAAAATCACTTATATGGGATGATATGTGAATTTCAAATAACTTAAGATTACATAAAGATTAAGATTTGTTCTTTGATGTTTTATAAATCAATGTCAAATCTTTGTTTAGCTGAGTTGATGCTTATCATGAACAAGAAAAAATATTTATACTTGATGGTGGATACATTAATTATATATCTATTTTGCATAGATGTGTAGGTTAGTTCACAACAAAAGATGAATATATAACAGTAACAGAAGCAACAAATGAAACTATTTCACTAAATAAATAATCTCTAAGATGAAATTGAAACAAAAAGTTATATCTTTTCATTATGATAATTATAATACAATTTATCTTGTTGCAAATAAAGTGTTGAACAATATAATGAAGTATATCAACATAAGGTATCATGTATGATGCCTTATGTTGATACAGCTTATACTTTGACCAAATATATTCATAAAGTATCGTTTTATTAAAAATGTAGTTTTTGATAGAAGTATTGAAGTAATCAAGATTAACGATAAATTTGACCTAGCTTCTACATTGATCAAATTTATTCATAAGCTATCATTATGTCAAATCTGCATTTTTTAATATAAAAGTTTTCAACTTAGTGTTGATCAAAATTTTAGTATACATTATGTCATATACAAGTTTTGCATAAGACGCAAATTTAGAGAACATTATGTTGTGACTACGTCTTAAATTTGGTTAAATTAGTTAAAAAAAAAGCCAATGTTAAATTTCTTTGTAGAATTTTTTCCAAAATAACTATATACTTTATGGAAATTGTTGTCACCATGATATGAGTGAAGGAGAAAATTCTTACGGATAATTCTTTGTTGATTGGCTTATCGGAAGATACAAGTTAAAGTATTAGGTTCCTTATGTTCGGAGATACAAAGATTAGCAAGACCTACTTTAACTGTGAGCATTGTAATATTTTTTTTGGAAAACCTAATGATCATATGAACCTAGCGAGATGCAAATCTTGTGATCTGTGGATGTCGAGTTTGTTGTGCCGTGAGTTATGTTCTTGGATGATGTTTGATTTACTTGATACTATGTATTTAAAAAATAAATTTATGTAAGATTTTTATTATGATTTGAAATTAAAAATGAAGAAAAAATTTAATTTATTGCATGAAATAAAATATTCATTTTCTTTCCAATTGATGTTACTTTCAAACATGTGATATTTTTATTTACATCTATATACAGATCATTGATGCATTCACACGTAAAGTTATATGCAATATGATTATGGAGTAAATGAAAATAAGTTCGTTGGTACTTATAAATGTATAAATATTGTCATTAGCTGAATAAATTATGCAGCCAATCTTAACGTTATAGTTTATTTGAGGTTATTTAAATGGCATAGTGTATTTACGCGTGTTGGAATCTGTACTCATTGTTTGTGCAATTGATTATATACCATTACATGTGTCTTGCTTGAGAATATGCTTGAGAATTTACATGTCTTTTTTTTGATATAATCACAATTACATGTTGTGATATGACATAATGTCTTTTAAACACGTGAACACACGTAGATGTATATGTACACTTGCTCGTTTCTCTATATTTGTCTGAATTACAATATCCAGAAGTTCACCTGATATGCTTTACGTCCTGGTTGTTGTGTGTATTTTAGACTAACTCATTTAGTATTTTATGTCTGAATTTATTTAGAACCTTTGACATTATGCTATGTCGGTCGATCTGCTTGTGAAATCCGTTGCTAGATGTAGTTGACTCTTGTTATTTCTTCACTCCCAAAAAGGTACAGTGCTTTCTTCCTTTCAATAGAATGAAGGTTTTGGAAAGTTGCAATTTTCCTCAATACATTTCGAATCAATACCCCCTCCCCCTCACCAGATTCGATTGAAACTCAGTCATAGAAGGAAGTGCACGATACTACTTACAAATGAAGGGCATTTTTCCATATTTATCGGCCATAAATTTGAGCTCGCATGACAATGGAACTTCTTACGTTCTTTGCCGAAAGAGTAAGTTCAGAACGACTTGGCCTGAAGTACGCCTGCCCCAGCTCGTCAAAAAATTTATCCACGTGTGACATGCAGGAGCTGCCACGAGCGACAATTAAGCGCAGTAGCATTTGACCCGTGAGAGTTCTGCCTTGCCCACAAGACCAATGGACGCTGGGAGGTTCTGGAACTGCTAAAAGGCACCCGCTCGGCGGCTCACGGGCGGACTTTTGTCGTGTGGCACGTGGCACGCGGGTCCAAGGGGACCTGGAGGGCATGCGGTTTCGTTCCTCCTGTCGAAAAAAGTGCACCCACTCATTGGTCCACCTAAATTCGCTCGGGTCGTGAAAAAGGGGGCACACAGGACCTGACGTAGTTGGTTGCACTGTGACGGTCGGGCGAGCAGCACCGCTGAGAAGCGAAGTCACAGGCGAAGAATGCGACGAGTGTCGGCACGAACAACATTGCGGGTGTGCCAGCGAATTCAGGGTGGGGGCAGGCAACTGGCGATCGGAGACGCGCGACGTGTAGCGCAGGCGTTGGTACGATCGGAGCACGGGCCGCGGAGGGTCTGCGTCTCGGCCGTCGACAGCAGGAAAGAGACGGCCGAGAGCCCGGGGCGTTTAGCGACCCGCCCTCCTCGTCTTTTCTGGGGTTCGGGGTTGCCGTGTGAGGTAGTGCGAAGCAGCAGCTGCCGAGCAAAGGCGGTATTAGTCGGGCCTCCGTCAATCGATCGTGTGTTCGGCTCACGACGGGAGGCTATTAGCAAACGATCTCTGCTTGCAGAAGTACTCGACGCCACACGCCTGCAACGCAACGCCACCACGCCCCGGATTGCGAGGTTTTTCGAAATTGGCTCGCTGCTCTCGATCTGAGCGGCGCTAGTCGTCTGATTCGAGCGGTATACGATGGCCACCTTCGGCGACGCTCCCGCTGGCAACGCCAAGGCCGGAGAGAAGATCTTCAAGACCAAGTGTGCTCAGTGTCACGCCGTTGAGAAGTCCGCCGGCCACAAGCAGGGTATGACCCTTGTTTTTCATGTCACCTGTTGATGTTTGGTCGCCGTCACCATCCCCTGTGGTATTTTGCTGGGCTGGGTAGGACGGAACATTTTGGGTTCGCTCACTGGGCGTGGCATCTGCCAGCCTGGTCTCGCAGGTTGTAATCGTTAGCATTTCTGCCGTGGAGTGGTGGATGTGGTGCTCTGTTGCGAAGAATCGCAGGAAACCCCTAGACACGTTTACACATCGCCGCCAGGGGAGTCCCTCAGTCTTGGATTTGAGAAATCGCATGTCTTCGGGTCAAAAACGGAAAATTTCCAGACATGTTAAACAACGTCGTCCCAGATCGTCGCTGTATATTTGCTATGAATCCACTGCTATGAACCGTTTGTTGTAGACAACCGTTCTTGGCAACTTATGTCAGCTAAGTTTCTGGAAGTTCGAAACCATCACCTGAGAGGTCCCAGTCAGTTGACACCTTGACTGCTTCTTGTGCCATATTTCTCACATCGTTGGTTGCATCGAGTTCCTAGATTTTCTAACTTCGGGGTTTTGAATGATGATGTGCAGGTCCCAATCTCTCTGGACTGCTTGGGCGAACGTCTGGTACCACAGCAGGGTACTCGTACTCTGCTGCCAACAAGAACAAGGCTGTTGTTTGGGGAGAGGACACTCTTTACGAGTACTTGTTGAACCCGAAGAAGGTATGTCATCGTTGGGTAGCCGGCTGGCATTCATTTCTCATTTCACTTTTGCGGTCTTCTTTTTTTTAGCTGTCATTTTAGTTCTGTCAACTTCTGGATCTAAAACACTTTTCGTTGCTGAATATTGGTTTGGTCAACTGATAAATATGTCACAACGGTCGTAGATCATATTAGGAATGTCGAATAGCACTTTGTTTGGACCCTGTGAGGGTCTTCGGTTGTGCCAGCCCCTGTAATTTTCATATATCATCGAGACGTGCAAAGACGTGTTTTGATAATATTTTGAAAATTTACAGTGTGTCCTACTAGCTGTACCCATTGATAATATATGATATTTCTTCGGTTATATGTGTTAACTCATGTCGATATAGCCTTAATTTGTTACGATGGTAAAGTCGATGGTGAACATAAAGTTAAGAAATCTTTTCATATGGAAATGGGCGGGTTCAAGTGACAAACACCATAATTAACGTGAAATTTGCGCAATGAGTTGTGGTTTTACTATGTTGTACCGACAATGATTTTTCTAGAAGCTGTTCTCTTAATTCGTGACACTATAGTAGCTTTTTGAGGGTCTTCAGTTGAAAGTCTAGATTGTGGAAGAAGATGATGAATGAGATTAACATCATTTTGGACACGATCTCTGCAGTATATTCCGGGAACGAAAATGGTGTTCCCCGGTTTGAAGAAACCTCAGGAACGAGCCGACTTGATTGAATACTTGAAAGATGCCACTTAATCGAGTAGCAATTCACAGTAAGAGCCATTTGGGAACATACCGAAGTAAACATAACATATCAAATAACTAAGCCATAAACACGGTAGATATACTTCTGCGAGGGACATAAATTAAATTGCCTGTTCGTGGATTTTGCATCAAACTTAAGTAAAAGATAAACAAGACTTCAGTTGAACGCCAATGTAAGTGTTGTAGGTATATAGATGACTCAAGACGGGAACTCTTAGAAGGCAGACTGGTGCTGACTACAATCTGTGTTGTCTTCCATTGTGAACGTGCAGTACATCCCAGGTACAAAGATGGTGTTTCCTGGTTTGAAGAAACCACAAGAACGAGCAGATCTCATTGCCTATCTGAAGGAGAACGACTCGTAGTGTGGTTCTACAATTTTGTCTCCCGGCCGGCAAAAGCTACATGCTACATCCAATTCGATCTACTTGCCGACGAAGAAGCACAGGGTTACTTAAAAAATGATAAGACTTTAGGGATTCTATGGGAGGGAATAAGAAAGAAGCCCACTTTCCTGGGTGTGGACACAGGATATCTTGCACCATTTTGTTATTAATTCATTAGTTTCACTTATATTCTGTCATTTCAACAGGACGTTCAATTTTCATGCATCTTGAGTGTCCCAAAGTTGAAGGCAGGCACTTCGAGTGTAGCTGAGTGTTCATTTGAGCCGCCGCTGTTCGTAAGCTGGCAATTCGTTTGGGAAATCCCAAGACTGAGTAATTCTGGAAAAGAGTTGTACAAAGCGATGAAACAGAGTGAGGCAATCTTTGCAAGCTGCGAACCTTTCATTACATGATTATGGCTTACAAACTATGTGATGATGTTATCTTCGTCCTCTGACTGGTTTTAAGATTGTCCCACTCTCAAATGTTTTTGATTTACCTGGAATTTAATATTTTGTATCCGAGTTTTCCCGCTGGATCGTGTGGTCTGCCGATGAATTTCTTCCATGGTATGAAATGTTGTAAATTGTTGCCGTCATGAAAATGTTCTGTCGATAGGAAGAGTCGGGGGAGTAGCGTTTTCATAATGTTCTTTAGCATTCAAACGAGAAATTTCTCTCGAAGATAAGTGGAAGACGTTGAGAAGGATTGGAAATCTAAGAGGGAAAACGAGAAGTGAACTGCAATAAATTTTCTCGAATTAAGTGCAAGTATAAATGGAAATAAATGATGCCGCAGTAGCAAATGGTCAAGTATACCACAAAGAACTGCAGGCACACCTAGAAAAATCACCAGAAGTTAAAGGTACAGCTAAAAATGTGCGAAAGCCTTTGAAGCATGTCGTTTATAAATTTCTAGAGAAACCTCCGTGCATGAACGTGGCATTAGGGCAACCGTTTAAGAGCGAAAGATGGGGGAAAGGGTCGCTCGTGGCGTAATAGCTTCAACATATTCAAAGATCATTCCCGTCGGCAGTCGTTCACAACCATCGTACTTTTCAAGTACAGTGACGTGCGAGAAGCCTCTCGTCTCAAATTTTTCTTTGCCATGGAAAAGTCAACCTGAAGTACATCATGGCCGACATTTCCTGACTCGAGACCAAGGATGAAGCCGTAGTACACTGGGTTAGAAACCTACGAAATTAACTATGCAGAGGGCCAGGAATGGTGAGAAATCCACGAAGATTCGAACTAAGTCTCATGTCAATGGTTACCGATGGTTGTAGATCTGCGAGCGATTCAAGGTCGAGGCCGAAGCACAAGAACAGAGACGACAGAGAAGCACGAGATTCAGACTGGAAGCACTGAAAAAGGTGGCCCTCTTTCTCTCGTCGAGTCTGCTAAAGGGCAAAGGAAAAAGGCGTTCACACCGCGAGGTAAAGGGCGTAGCCGCAGACGTCGCTTTTCGAGCCTGCGTCGTCTCTCTCTCGACGTCACGACAGCAGAGCAACGTACGCAGTAGCTCGAGTCTACGACGTCGGCTGCCGCGGCGAGGTAGGTTAAGATAGAGCAGAGCGTAAACCTAACCAGGGAGGGCGAAAAGCCAAAGGGCAAAAGGCACACGCCCGGGGCCTGCTGCCTGCTGGTGGAGCTGGAACGAAACTCTTCAGGGAGAGGTCCACGACGGCGGGCGACCGCGGGCGGAAGGAGGTGGATGCTTCGGACAGCGTACGACAGGGCTCGAGGCGAGAGGAAAAGTCAGTGCAAACCGATGAGGTGGAGAACGCTGGGAGCGCCATGTAAGCTGATGAATGTATCTCTCGCAATCTCCTCGGCCCAGTCTCTCGAGCAGCGGCAGCGGCAGCAGATTCTGGTGGAGCAGGCTTAGATTCGCTGGTTGCGAGCGAGGCCGATTTTCTTGCTCTCGGTCGCTCTCGCCCCATTTGCTCGAAGGTCCGGCGCATGGGCTCGTCATTTCCGCGATAGCACGGACTTTTCGTCGGATCAACAGGACTACGCACACCCGAGCGTGTGCCTCCCATGCCCGGCAATAACCTGAAGCTCGAGCCCTGGGGGGATTCTTCTGCGCAGAAAGATGAGTCGTTCCCTCAAGTGCCCGGGGCGTCGAGCAACCCCAGTGGCGGCAACAACTGGCAACGCTCCCCGTCGCCTGCCTCTGGGGGTCCGGGCGTGGAGTTTGATGAGCCCCCTTCTCCACGGCCCCGCAGTCCCAATCTGCACAAGCGCATGATCCTGGCGAACCGCGATAAGGAGTCGTTGCTAGAAGAAATCATCGACCTGAAAAAGGCTCTCTCGGATCAAGCTTATCACCTGAGGCTTCACAAAGTGCACGCCTCCGCGGTGCAGATCGAGAACAGGTAACGTGTCAATTCTTTCCGGTCTCGCTCGCTCTTTGTGCGTAAAACCTTCTCTCCTCTTTTTGAAGATCTCGAATTGCCACTTTGCACGGACGCAATTCGGGGAATCACAGGTTGCCTGTTTGTTTTGAAGATTTTAAATCTTTACTTTCTTCCCCAATTTTCTTTCTTTTTTCCCCGCACCTGTTAGGCTTCTAGTTTCCTTCCTCACTCCTATCCTGGAGTAATATTTATAGAGTTCGAAGAGACCCTCCTTCGCAGGAAATTGGAGAAAGATATTGAGGACCTGGAAGTGTCTGGAAGTTATGAAGCTCCACGTACTGGTGGCCCGACCAGACTTCGTTCCAAGCTACAAGGCTCAGATCCTTTCCCTATAACCATTCTTTAATAAGAACTAAACGGTCGGTATGGTTTGCCCAACTATTTGCAATTTCGGACAAGATCACTCACGCCGATGTATCTCGGACGGATCTTTCACTGCTAGATATATGATATTGTTCTTCGAAGACTATCTGCAGTCGGCCGCGGGCCGCAGATGAGGAAAGAACATGGCTGCAATTTTGACCTCCCCTCTCTGCTGAACATAAGTTCCAATCTTTTTTAATGTGCTCTTTGCTCTTATCTCTATTGAAGCGTTGTGATTTACAACGCGATTTTTTCTCGCCAAAGCTTGCACCTTACGTGTGTAAGGGATTCTGCTCAGGGTCATACTTTGTCTCTTCACCTATTGCCGTAGTGCATTAGATCGTCAATAGTAGTCCGTGTCAGGGTATGCTTTTCTATTTTTGACCTACTTCAAAACTAGGTCGGAAAGGAAAAGTATGTGCCTAACGTCACGGGTCACTCTCGAATCTGCCTTCGAGCCAAAACTCATCGCTTCAAGACGGAACTCTTAACGTTGATTTGGATAACATTCGTGCAGGTTTGAAGGTAAGGTTGGGGGATCTGCAAGCGACTTGTGATCTACAGCATGATGAACTTAGCGCACTTCGTAGAGACATACGAGTAACGCGCACAAGGGTAAGATCTGCATTTTCGAGCCGTTTCATGCGCATCACAGTAGCCAAATTTCGTGGCTGGGTATTTCCGAAGTGGATAAACTAATTTTTTTTTTACTTCCTGTAGGAGGTCGAGGTCGAACGTGACATATATGCCGGAGAAATAGGACGGTTGCAAAAGGTCGTGAGACGATTGAGGGTACTGTCTGCGCGCATTACAGCCGAGAACCGGGAACTTCAACGCCTCAAAGACAAAGCTGCTCGGCTGGAAATCGCAAACCAGCGGCTCGAGAGTTGTATTGCAGTAAGTATCGCTTAACACGGTGGTGGTGTTTTGCTAATAACTGCCGAAGATGTAGGATGTCAGCTTATAAATGTAACCATCAACTTCCATCAGTCTCCGTATAGATCAGTGAAGAGCATTAGACTTCAAGTTGCTCTGCATGCATTTGGTCAATATTTCACAGGGAATTGTTACCGTGAATGGATGCAACGAGATGCTGTTTGACATGTATTATATTCACTTTTAAGTATGCATTGGGACGAACTTCGTGCGCGGCCTAGTTCTCTGCTGTGTCTTCTTAGCATTGTTTACGTACTTTAGGTCTACAATGTAAAGCTCACGAATGATGCTTGTTCTAGTAAGCATCATGAGGTGATTGCTTGTGGAACTAATATCAATCTTGCTTGTGATTACACTCAGGTTGTGCACAAAACGCTAGAGAGGGCAAACAAAGAAGTCACAGGCTATCGAGCGAAGGCCAATGAGTCACAGTTGGAGGCCAAAAAGTATGGAAAGAAAATCAAGGAGTTGCAAGAACACGCAACAGTTCTAGAAGGGCTTCTTGAGAAAGAGAGAATCGAAAAGCGGCGTATTGGGCAGAAAATAAAGGCCGTCTCGAGCAAGAAGAGAGAATGGGACAAAGAATATCAAGCCAAGCAGAAAAAGAACCAACTCTCCTCTGCAGCAGAGCTTTTGAAGAAGAAGAAGAAGAAGAAAAAGGTTCAGCCCAAGAGTAAACCCGTAAAGGCAGAAGGAGAAGCCTCGGGAGAAGTATCCAGTGCAGATGGAGGAGAGTCCAGTGCTGAGTCTTCATCAGATAGCGCCGGGGCCGATTCTCCGCGTGGTGGTGCAGCTATCTCTCTTGAAGAATTCGAGGCGAGGAAACTATCGTTCCTCGGCAAAGTGGAGACGGCATCTCACTCTTTCGTTGCACAGGAGAAAGATGTCTATGGAAACGTCATCAATCGCTCACTTACCGGAGCCGGAGCACCTGGTTCTCATGGTTATGGCTCTGGTGGGCCTTATGGAGGTGCTTCTGGGGACTTCGATTCCGCCTTTGGACCTGGTGGATCAGGAGGGCCAGGAGGATTCGGTGCCGGAGGAGGTCCAGGAGGATACGGTCCTGGAGGAGGCCCAGGAGGATTCGGTGCTGCAGGAGGCCCAGGGGGATTCGGTCCTGGAGGGTATGGAGCTGGTGGTGCAGGAGGGGGCCCTGGAGGTTATGGTACAGGAGACGAAGATGGATCTGCTGGAGGAGGCAAGGGAGGTAAGGGTGGCAAGGGTGGCAAAGCGGGCAAGGGTGGAAAGGGAGGTAAAGGTGGGAAAGGTGGGGCTTACTCTGGTACTAGCTCTCCTGGGTCTGGTGGCTACGGTTCGGGTTCTGCATCTCTGGGGGAACCTCGGTCTGCGTCTGGTACTCTTCTTTCTTCTTCAGGTGGGTCATCTTCAACTCTAGCCATGTCTCCTGAAGATAGAAAGCGTGAACAGGATCTTGAAGGAACTTTCTACGAGGGGGTTGAGTCTGCTGCCGACGACTTCATGGACTCAGTGGAGGCCATGGTTGGAGGCAAAGGGAAGGTTCCGAAGTTGAACTTAGAACGCATAAAAGCCAAGGAGGCTGCAGATGCACGGAGACGTGAAGAACAGAGAATTCTGAGGGAGAGAGAAGAGAGATTCCTTGCCCAGGAACAAGAGGCTAAGAGACTGGCTTATGAACTAGCCGAAGAAAGGAGGCTGTCTGCTCAAAAAATAGAGGAAGAAACCTCTAGACGCTTGAAGATCCTAGCTGAGCAGGGTAACCTTGATCTTTCCATCGACCATGAGAGATTGCAAGGCGATGAATTTGAAACCCAAATAAAGACTGATATGGCAGGAAGATTAAGTCTGCAAATCAACTTGAAACGTTCCTCAGAACATCCCTATCCTGGTTCGCCTAGAGCTTTAGCTGAGGCTGAGCAAGAGGCAGAGCGGAGGAGAGTTGCAGCAGAAATCGAGGCACAAAAAGAAGAGGCACGGAGAATCAAAGAGGAGATGGCAGCTAGGGAGGAGGCTGTCAGAAAAGCTGAGAAGGAAACATTGCGTAGAGCAGAACTTGAGATGGCAGAGAGGAATCTTTGGGAGGCAGGTTTAACTCCGGAGGAGTTGGCAGAGTACCGTAGGCGTATAGCGGCGGGTGAAAATCCAGACGATGTCATGAAGTCTATGAAAAAGGCAGCTCGTGCTGCTGCTAAGCTACAGCAAGAGCAGGCACATGAGGCCGAACTCAGGAAGAAGGCAGAAGATGACGTAAAGATGAGAATGGCCCAAGAGGTGGCCGCCAAGAAAGAAGCTGAGCAAGCGTCCAAGAGAGCAGCTTGGGAGGCAACTTTGACTCCGGAGCAGTTGGCCGAGTACAGAAGGCGTATAGCTGCCGGTGAAAACCCAGACGATGTCATGAAATCGATGCAGTGGCAGGCAACTTTGACTCCTGAGCAATTAGCAGAATACAAGAGGCGTATAGCTGCTGGCGAGAATCCAAAAGATGTCATGAAGGCCATGCAGTTATCAGCATTCGAGGCGAGTTTGAGCCCTGAAGAGTTGGCGGAGTACCGAAGGCGAATAGCTGCTGGTGAAGATCCCTACGATGTTATGAACGACATAATTGCGATCAAAAAGAAGAATCCTTTCCAATTTTTGGATAAGGATATGCAGGGCTTTATCAAGGAGAATATCAGAGGAGTTCTAGGTCACTTAGAGAACATAACTGAGGTCATCGTTCATAAGCAACAAGAGCTCGGTAAGCACAAAGAGGGCGTGACTTCTACTGCTGGAGCAGCGATGGACGTCTTAAAGGCTTCTGAGAAAGACGGAGATAAGAAAAAGAAGAAGAAAGAAGTCCATATACAAGAGGAGTCTTCCAGTAGACCTGGAACGCCGAAACGTGAGAAGAGGGGAGAGTCCAGCAGCAGAGGTTCCCGTGACAAGTGAGCTTCCCCTGATGATGGACTACACTCTTGAAGGTGCGATCACTGCAAACAACTGAAAACTTCTAATTATCTTGTTGTTATTAAACTGCCACTCATCACTCTTAAATGAGGCGCTGGAAGTAAATGAGCCAGGTTGCATGATGACGTCCTCTCCAGTGATTATTTACATTTTCGACTGCTGGCGGTACGTACATGCTTTCTGATCATCCACGTCGGTGTACTTGGACATTTCTTTCCTTGCTCACGAATTTGTTTAGGACTTTCAGAACCAGGTTGTTATTATCTCAAAATGAACCACTTGGAGAGCAGGTTGACAAGTTTGATCAACTAACTATCTCGTTGTTGGAAAGTGAGAAGTCTTGGATCATATTCCTTTGATTGATCCTATGTATATGAGATGTATTCTAGTTAGGTCACTCCCACCAAATTGCTTCTGCACAACTTTCTAGAATGAACGAGGCGTGAAATCTTCGAATGATGCATTCGCTTTCCAGTTGGTTTCGGAATGATGACGTCTTATGCGTCATCATTCACCAGAAAAATCAGACTTTCCACTCGGGAATTAGCACTGGACACTACTCAACATCCTGGCAGTTCTGTTTTAGATGTGTTAATTGAACTTACAACTACCACGTGGTTACAGTTCTAGGATTATGGATCTTATTGATGATTTAATCTTGCAGTGAATCACCATGATTTGACTTTGAAGTGGTGAGCGTCTTCAAAATTGAAAGACCCTCTGTCGTGGAGAGCTGTAATCTGCCGAAATCAAGGAAGCCAATAGTGTTGGCTCCTTCTAAACTGCAAGTTGGGATTGATCCATGTTGCCATCGTGATGACCATTGTTTACAGCCGTTCACGACCAAAGGTGGTCTGGTGTACTGCCTTGGTTTGGTAGCTGAAGTCTACTTCAATCATGGCTGGCAGAATCCTAAACCACATTTTGGCAAGCGATCTCAGGACACAATTGGTGTTATGAAAGACTACGAGAGCTATCAGATTGATAAGCTACGTCACTCAGTGGTGCAGGTTGACCTCCAAGAAACAAGGGAAGATTACTTGTACAAATTCAGACGAGCCACGAGCTCACTACTTGCACCGGTGAAACTGATGCATCGATGAGAAATCGTGCGGCCTTTGGACAGTCGGTCATGCTGAATTAGATGTAAACCTATATGGGAATGGGGATTTGTAGATTATTGTCAAGTGGGAAGCGCATTTTGGTTTCTGTTTGTTCCATTTGATCAACCAGTCCAGAGCGTGGCCAGTATATAACTGAATTTGCTAATGCTTCGGCCCTCTTGAACTGTTCTAGTTTCAAACTCGGGCAGAGTCGATTGGACTCTTCCAGGAGATCAGGGGAAGTGTCGCCTGTCAAATTATTGCCATCATAGCCTAGGTTAGTCCTCCCATTTTGGGGACGGAGCAAGACAAGCGTTTGGTATTGAGGGAGATTACTGGAGTGTTAGGGGCGCCTTCACATGGCAGCACTGTGAGCCATCGTCAGTAGTCTCTTAGACATGGCTTTGGTACCTCTTATTTAGTTTTACCTCGGTTTCAGAATCAGAGACCACGTTATTCAGAAGCATATATTTAGCGTCATTAAAAGCAAGGGTTGGCGGGAGCTTGTAACAAGGTGTGTTGTAATTAGGAGTTTACGTCGATGGACAACATATATGCAATTTTGTCTGAAAGGGTGAGACCACGATCCTTGTCATGTACGTAGTTGTTACAGATCAACCTTTGAGTGTGATCCGAGATTTTACAGATATAATCTGACACATCCTTTTAAATTCAGAAAGTTTAAACACGACCACCTGCTTGACTCGATGGCATGGCAAGTAGTGCAGGACATGTATTCTTTTGTATCGTCACACGGGTGTGTAAATCAGGTTAATAGAAAATCGGTAGAAAAATGTTCTTTAACTTATCGTGTCATCATCGATGTCCAAACAGTATCCAGTGAATATATGCACACTTTGTGATATCAGAACTGTTAAAAAAACAGATACGGGTGCAGGATTAAGAGCAGGACCTGAGTGGCTCCCTATCCCATAGTGAGCTTTTTAATGAACATGCGGCTACTCCGCTAAAAATGCGTGATCTCCGTCCAGTTCAAGGTACTACGAGGAACGTGTAAAAGGGTCGAATTTGCCATCATAATGATTAAGAAAACCTCATTCGACACATAGAGGCAGATGACATCACGTTTACTCCATGTCTACCTCTTGAATGGAAACAGGTTCGTTCACAATTGTCTACACTTTTCATGATCTGTCTCTGTCTAAAGCTGGCAATCACAGATAGATCTTGTCAATAGAACTTCTCGACGGTGTTTGAGGTTTAAAAAGAAAGAGCACAATCTCCGAAAGCCCTCGCGATATCTAGTCTCTGACTAGAATGAAATCTGAGCCCCTTGCATGCAGACTTTCAGCATTTGAGCTGTTAAAAAATCACTTCCTGTACATGGTTCGGTTCAGATCGTCGAGATTGACCCTTCTCATATCTTCCGAGCATTGAGCACATTTTGCGCGACATCAAAGCTTCTCAATTCGAAACCATGGGTACAGCCTCATGGCTAAGTTCCTGTCAGTATTTGAGGCCCAGAATCGCTCACATTCTCTTCTTGGTGTAGCTCTTGTTGAATTGATTGACCTGAAACTTCCAGATCAGCACTAAAAGCCCGAACATACCCACAATTACGAGCAGATACAATGGATTATTGGCGACATCGGCAGGAAACTCGATCTCTTCAATCTGAAAATCTTCCCGACTGAGTCCTTCCAGGTCTTCGTGAAGGTAACTGGCAAGAACATAAACTCGCAGATCCTTCACAGCAACGCTGGTGCTGTAGGTCGTTTTCTCCAGCACGACCTTGTCCACCAGCGTAGCCGAGTGCCAGAAATCCCTACTACTCAGTAACCAAGCAGTATGAGAGGAGACCACCACCAATGCTCCATCTTGCCGAATTGCCATCCCATCCGCTTCAGACATGGTCAGACCATCTGCAACCTTCACCTTCTCCACCTTTCTGTCCGACACCTTCACCCTGATCAACGCTCCGGAATTAAACTGACTCACGAGAAGAAGCCCATCCACAAACACGAGTCCACTCACACCAGCCTGCGCGAACATAGGCTCGCTCTGCAAGATTTCATACTGAGGGAGCGTAACGAAGAGGCTCGCCTCCCCAGAAGATGTCACCTTCCAGACCGAGTTGCTAGTAGTTTCCGTGACGTAAGCGTTACCCTCGTTATCGGCACAGACATCCTTGAAGAAATAAGGTTGCGTTCCTTCCTCGCTCAGGGTCACCATTAGGGTTCTCTTCTTGGAATCCAAGTCGTAGGCGACCAATCTGGCAACCTGGGGGTCGAATTCTCCTCTACCGGCCTCCACTACAGCCAGCACGCGGTTCCTCCTTGCGTCCACGAAGACGCCGTGGACTTCAGACTGGCCTTCGAGATCTGAATCCGAAACGAAATCCTCCACCGCGCCTGTGTCGGTAAGGGTGACGAGCTTGCCCAGCACCGTGGACCCGACGATGAACCGATCGTGCTTCCTGTCCCAATCGAAACTCTCCGGATAAAGCTGTGGCATTTTGTACTTGATCAGCTGCAGCTCGGATTTCGCATCTGCGACTCCTCGCAGCGCTATGAGAACCACGATCGTCCATAATCCCATGCCCACCGCAATGCTGCTGCGAGATCTCGTCATCGTCCCAAAGTCCACTACGAACTTCCAATTGCTCCTCGATGGTCTTCTAAGTCGATCGTGAGGAACCTTGTACAGAACGAGTCATCTATCCTAAGACTTCATTCGGATACAGATTTAGGCAGATTTTGGTCTGCATCGTAGGGAGCATGATCATCTAGTCAGATCCCGGTCTGCGCTCTTCTCTTCTGTACATAACTGCCCGACGACACCCGCATGTCTCCAGACAGACACCGAGACGAACTAACGTAGCACGTCTCTCGCTACACATGCGCCACTTGGCACTCTCTTCCATCGGCTCCGGTGAAGAACATTTACAATAATCCCCGTAATACATACCATATCTAACTTTATGGGTTACATCTATTATCTAATACATCCATTTATTCATTCAAGAATAATATGACTGCGTCAAATAAAATATGATGTAAATATTTAAAATTAAAATTATTTTAGTTTACATGATAAACATTGAACTAGCAAAGATTAAATTTTCATATGACAACGATAGCAAATCCATTCTATATCATATTACTGTTATTTTATGTAAATTTATTTAATTTATAAAAAATAAGAAAGAAGATTTTTACTATCATTATTAGTCATTTTTCATGAAAAAAAAACCTACATCTTGGTATTATGTAATCAAATCATATAGTTAAATTTTAAACGTTCCAACTCAAACTCTCATTTGGTATTTTACTTGAATATTAAATCAAAATGTGTAACTCTTATAGCTATTTTGTTCATTTTTCATTGTAAGAATCAATCTATTCAAAATCAAATCAAGAAAATTTATTCCCTAAAGTTTTCATGTCGTTTGTTGTTTCACTTTCTCATTGATTTTTAAATAAACAAAATTTTTGCAACCAATTCAAATTATTTGAATATTTTAATTTCTAGAAATCATCTATTGTTGTTTTGCTTTTCTGCTTATCAATAGTGACAAGAAAATCAGAGAGAAATCACAATAGAAAAATTGTACAATATACTCAGTTCGCCCTTGTGCTACGTCCACAAGAACACACAGATAAATTGTTCAGCTTGACAAACATACTCGTCGCACCAAGTTGAGATGATGGATCACATATACACCGTTCCAACTTGATTTACTTCTAACAATCTTACTTTTAACACATATTTGGAGAACAACAAACTCCTTAGGCTATATAATTACTCTACTAGAAGTCTTAGAAGAAAACCTAATAAACTCTACTCTTTAAACTAGAACTAACTGAAATTAAATCGTAGCCAAGACAAGATAGAGTAAAAATATATATAGATAACTAAAATGCTAATCAATCCTACTTATGTTCCTCACGCAAAACCTGCATAGAATCACAATCTTTGTTAAATCTTTTCAAAGGAATGATTTTGGTCAACTCATCAGTCGGATTGTATTTAATTTCAATTTTGACTAGTTTAATACTTTCATAAAAAATTGCATGTATGATCATATGCATCAACATCATATATGATGTTGATGTATTTTACTCTCTCGTACATCATTTGATTTGTAGCAAAATGTAATGCCCTCTGACTATCACAATCAAGATTAACAACTTTATATTTCAATCACATCTAAGTGATAAGCTTATTCAACCAGATACCTCATTTGTTGTTTTTGCGATTGCTTCATACTCAATCAACGATATACATATCAACAATAACCTGTTACTCTAATTCTTCTTTCTCACTAATTTGCTTTATATGTATCAGAGTTTTCCCTTGTGGAACATTATTAATCACATAATTATCAATTTTCACTCAACAACATCTGTGATTAGAGATTTTTCCTTATGAGTACAAGGAGACTATAAACTCTCACTCACTTTCAATGATCGGGGTTGATTGAAAGAAGCCTAACTACTTACAATAATCATTACATCTCACTGGCTATAAGTCTTTATACCTTAATATATTCAAGAAAACGACACTTCTTGGATGTAATATCCAATTTATTTTTATTCATCTTGAATATAAAAGTATAAAAATTTAACTCAAAATTCTCAAACGAATATAATCATTCATCCATTTTTGATTTAAATCAAACGATGTCAAAAAATTGATTGCAATAAAAGTAGAAAGATCTATCAAATATATTACGGTATTGACAACTTTAGCTTCATATGGTACATCATATCGGCTCAACATATTACACACTTTTTTCAACAATCTTCAATTAAAACTTTCAAAAACAACATTTTGTTGCGGAGTATAAACTGTGGCGATATCAAGAATAATCTTCTCCTTTTTGAAATAATTTTAAAAAAACTTTTAAATTTCTTAGAAGTATACTTTCTGTCATATATGATTCGTAGGTAAATATATTGCCTTGTGTCAAGTTTGAATTTCAACTTGGGCTTTCCAATTTTGAAAGTTGTAAACACTTCAGACTTGCGTGTGATAAAATAAATCCATACAAATTTTGAATGATCATCAACAAATGACATATGGTTTAACCTTTTAAAGAATAAAACCATACATATCTTACCTACATACATAGTCAAGTAACCCCTTAGATATATGAGTTCCAACAGCAAAGGTTTGCATATGATGCTTGATCATCATGAAGTATATGTAAAACTCTAAGTCAACTTTATTAATGACAGGTAACAATTTACTTTTGCATAAGTGTACAGATTTATATTACTCATGTGTCAGTGTAATAATAGACAAATACCAAAATGGAGCATAAAGGTATAGATTCGATCCCACGAGTACAGAAACAAACACAAAAGTCACGGTTTGTCACACTTTAGCAATCCATTCAGGAGTTTTACTTCTCAGGCTAATGCCACTCCCAGAAGACACTTCCCAGCTAGAGCCGAAGACTCACAGGGTAGTGCGAAACCTCACTCACAATCTGAATCTTTTCCAAACAAAACCTGTGAGAATCGCAGGCGACCTCACACTGGTATATCAGGGGGAAAACTTCCCAGCATTGCATACATCCCAACACACTGACCCGAATACTCAGACTTGAACTTGCTTAAATCCCGAATTAACCCCAGGCTACATAGGACATCCAAGCTTAATAATCACAACTCTTGATGCGGTAACTTCGACAAACAGAAGCGCACTGTGCTCAATGTCTGGATCACACACCAGCACAGAGACACACAGCGAAGACAGATTGACATTTGAAACAAGCCAATTGACAGAATAGCCCCCCAAGGAAAGAGCCTTGGGTTTCTTTATTCACAATGGCAACTCTAGGATATCAACCGCCTGAGGCGAATCGGTCTCAGGGGTTGTGCCGTCCGATGTAATGGTTACGGCGTCATCTGAACTACTCTCTACTCCTAGTCTACGCAACACGTTTATAATCTCAACTTCTACATTCTGGCGCGCCTCATTCAATCCTTCCAAAAATGTGTTAACTAACTCTACAATCTGCTTGTGTTCTACGGTTCCGCCGGCCTTGGCACCCATCAACCGTCGCTCGAGTGAATCTAGCTTCAGCCACTTCACCGTTTGCAATCCTCACATCGCGAACCCGTTTAAACACTTCTCCAACCGCAACTTCAACTCATCGGTCGTCTCGTCCCGCAGTTGACCGTAGGCCTCCTCTGCCTTTTCCATCATCCAGTGCGACTTTTGCGATCTCATGTCCGCCTTCCCTAACTGCTCCCGCAACCGTCTGCATTCTGATTCGACTCTTAATCTACATTCGACCTCCGAAGACCTGGCCGATTCGCAATCCGCCAATTTCTTGACCCAACCCTCCAACTCTCCTTCGTGCTTCTGAATTCCCTCCGCCAGACTCGCTGAAAGCTCCTCCGCACGTCGGAATTCCAAATCACACTTACCCGCAATCTCCGAAATCTTCCTACGAAGATCTTCTTCCGCCGTCTTCGCCTCTGCGATTTTGCCTCGAAGTTCTTCGGCGATACGAACTTCTTTGGCTCTTCGAGCTTCCACCTTAGCGAGGTCTTCAATATACTTCTTTTCTCGCTTCTCCGCGGTCACAATCAGCCGCTCCGACCGCTTGACTGGCTCTTCATATGCCTCTCTGGATTTCTCCAGTCTCATGATCAAATCCACAGTCACCTTCTGTGTGTTCTCATTGGAGATGCGAAGTCCAACACATGTTCTAACTCTGCACATCTTCCAGATTCCTTCTCCAAGTTCAACTGCAATACCTCGCACTCAACTTCCTTCTCCCGAAGCTGGGCTTCTCGCTCCTGCAATGTCACCTTCACTGCGGCGCACTCGGCCTCCAAGTTTGCCGCTCGCTCCCGTGCCAATTTAGAGGCGGAATCCCACTCCCTCTTCATTGCTACTGCCCTCTTGAGCTGCGTTCTATTCCTTATCAATTCAACATAAAATCCTACCTCCTTGGATATGGCGTACTTCTCCCTCTTCCTATCCAGGTATTGCAATAAAGATACCACACTGTATTGCAAGAAATCAGGAAAGGTAACCTCCAAGGCTTTCACTTCTTCGACCAAAGTCTTCTTCTCGTCTTCGGGTCTCACATCTTCTACCGGAGTCGGCGGCAATGTAACGTCAGGTGACTCTATCACTGTCCCTCCCACCTGCGTTACAACTTGCTCCAAAATTTCCTCACTAAGAGTGAGTGTGAGCCAAACCTTCCCACCCTTCAGCGGTTGTAGTCCAGGTGGGGGTTCGAGCTCCCATAATCTAACTTCGCTGAACTCAAGCCATGTACTCAAAGTGTATTCAGGACAATGAGATCATAAACACTTGCTCCTTCACAGACAAATTATCCAGAACTGAAAATAATAACCTTGCTGTCTACTATTTTCGCAAGAGCATCAGACAAGCTCTTTGTTACATAAAGATCTAACCCAACTCTGGGTGACTTCCTCAATACTACAGCCGCTGTGGGCTTTCCTAGATACCAGTCCCACTCCCAATTCCTACTCAGAGTTCAATGTCGACTTCTCAGCTCCCACCTTCAGACCCCACCAGATTTCTCTCTCGGATTCAACTCTCACTTTTCAAGTTCAAATTCAGATCCCGACTGTCAGATTTCAGTCTCAGATTTCACTTCACTCACATCTCCCACTCTCAGGTCTTCCACTCAGATCTCAGCTCCCACTCACAGATTACACTTCAATCTCAGATCCCACTCTCAGGTCTTCCACTCTGATCTCAGCTCCCAGGCCGAGCACACCACTTCCGTCTCCACACACGCACACCACCAGCTCTCGCACACTGGTACACTACAAGCTCTCGCACACTAGGCCGA